GCCGCCATCTTGGCTGACAGTTAATTTGCATAAGGATATGCTGATTAGCCAATGGGAAGGGTAGCGGTCATACGCTAATTACCATGTTTCTCTTTTATTAGTGTAGATATATATATATATATATTTTTCCCCCCCAGAGAGGAAGGTAGATGGGGAGAGAAACATCAATAATGAGAGAGAATCATTGACTGGTTGCCTCCTGCACACCCCCCGCTGGGAATCTAGCCCACAACCCTGGCATATGCCCTGACCAGGAATCAAATGACCTCCTGATTCATAGGTCGATACTGAGCCACATGGGCCAGGAGAATTTCTTTTTTAATTTGCTTCTCAGTACTAGTGGCATTTACAGTAACAACAGGCCTACTTCCTGTTGCTCCATGTTATTCTGCTCTACCTGCAGCAGGCGGTCCTGCTCCTTCTGCCACCTCTCCTGCCGCTTTCGCTCCTCCTCTTGATCCCACGCCCAGCGACTCGGGGCACTGATAGTTGGAACTGGAAGCTAACCCGTTATGAGAGAAGAGGTGCAAACAAAGAACATGTTACATCATTAAGTCACCTATGGAAGCATATCTGCCTACATAAGTTATTCATATCACCCTGTGTCTAAGCTATACTAAAGGACAGTTGGCTTTATATTTCAAAATAGGTCGTTTCAACTTAAAGAGACTGGGTCACCTTATTTATTCCAAAAACAAGTGAATGCTACTTACATCAGGAACCACAGAATCAGAGCTTCCTGTATGGCAGCATGTGGGTAAGGAAGAAAAAAACACAGTATAAGACTTTTCATTTCTATGAAATAATTCCTTTCAGAGAGTTATGTCACTAGCTGTTTCTATGCCAGTATACTAAGTGACATCATTTTTTTTAAACAACAGGAGTAAATCCTTCTTTTCCTCTTAAATTCCATCTGTTTGTTATCCATCTTCCAAATTCAAAGTCAGTTTAAAAGAAAAAGGAAAGAAGAAAGGGTCAACTATGGGTGCTAAGAGTACAACCAAGTTCTAGGTACAAGCGCTGGATCAATGGTGTATTTATGAATAAGTTAGAGGGTTTGTTTATTAATAGACTGGGATACTATCTCATAGTTTGGCCTACTTAAAAAAAAGAATTTCAAATGTTACAATATCTACCAAATCTAATTTTTACTTGCACTATTCAATTACAATGTGAGAACTCTAAGCTACTTTTCTTAAATAAGCCATCACATCAAACATGTTCAAGAAACCTTTCCTTTTCCTCTACTATTATTTGAAACATAAATATTCAAACTTCATATGGTATAGTGTTATTCTTTTACTTTTTCACAGTGTTATTCTATTTAGTCTTAGGGGGGGGTCTACATAAGTGTGTGTCTGTCTGTAGTACAACGAATACAAACAAGTAAGCAAATTTCATAAAATATGTATCATATAGTACCTTTAAATTTTCCTGAAACCTCAGCTGTCAAATAAATTATTCACTTACACAATTATATTTTTAAGAAAACTGTTTTGAGACTTAGGAAAATATTCTTCCCTAAAATAGCCTGCTGAAGAAAAGTGAGTAAAAATTAGGATAAAGAAGAAAAGGATTTGCTTTATTTTAGTCAATCTGAGCTAGAAGTATCATACTGCATCAATTAAATTACCAGGGAAAAACAGAAGTTTAACAAAAATATATCGAAACCACTAAGAATACTGACACAAGTAAACCTTGCACATGCATAGCTGGTGAACTATTTCTATGTGTGGTCAAGAGACTGTAATTCAACAAAGGAAGACTACTAGGAGATTGACAAAATATAAAAGTCCAGTAAACATCGTGTTACAAGGCAAGTTTGTAAATCTTTGATAATCTTAAAAGTAAGAAACCATAACATTTTAGACACCAACAGCACATACTCCCCACTGACCGTGCCATTGCATCTCAAATGTTTGGATATTACTTTTAAGTTCTTGACAGTGAAACACAGAGCTCAAACTGCATTCATGAGACAGAGCATCAGGCAAACGTGAGAGGGAAGAAGATGCCACATGCATAGCACATCGTAAGGGAGCATTGCCCAACTACACCAACACAGAGAACCTCAAAATTCACTTGTTCACAAATGTCACCAAAATTTATTTACTTTTAATTTACTTCTAAGTCAACAGAGCAGTACTATCAATACTCCAAAGCCGCCATCCCAATAATAATAAACAACTCTGCTTTTTTATTGGGAACATTTTCCAGAACCAAAAAAGCAGAGGTCTTTAGAAAGTTAGCCAATGATATGTTGGTGTAATCTAAGATTATGCAATTTGTAGGAAGTAGTAAGGCTTAAATGAAATGCCTCATTTCTTACTGTCACCCAGTGGGGGGAAAAAGTGTGTGTTTAATAGCATCTCAATTTTTTAATTAAAAAAGAAAAAAGAAACTTCAGAGGTGCAAAGGACACGCAAAGACCCATTACCACAGAGGTAGACCCATGAGCTGTAAGAAAAGCCTGATGACCCTAGGGAAAGAATGGAAATGGGTTATGTCGTTGGTCACGATGACAGCCAAACCGAAGAGGCTCAGTGCCGAGCACCACAGACCATCAGGAAAGGTGGAGGGTGGGAACAATTCCATGAAAATGCATGAATTGTTAGCTTGGTGGTTTACCTTGTTCAAAAAATTGTGATCGCCTTTTTAAGTTTTTCAAAGAAATAGGTTCAGATGCTAGTTGAAAAATACAAAAAAAAAAAATCAATAAGATGTCATTCATTTTAATTTCTCACCACTGGAAAACTAAATGATACTTGCTATATATATTTCTCATCTATAGCAATATTATTTTTTAATAATAAAAATGACAAAACTGATAGCCACAGAAGATATGTATTATTTCAATGCACAGAGACACACATATTTTTAGTAGTCTATGCTATATTCAAATTAGTAAAAGGAACTAATATTTTGATTAATAAATTTTAGCAGATAAGCAGTCTAATTTCACAAAAGTCAAAACAGCTTTAGGAAAGTGGAAATTAAATATTTTTGCTTAGGTCAGTAAAAAATCTCTTCTAGTACAAGGAAAATTGTTTGTAACTAAGAGTTTTCACAATACAGGTGAGTAAAATAGAAACTAAAGAATAATGGGGAAGAGGACAAGAAAATAAATAATAACCAGAGAAAGAGAAAATAAAAGCAAGTGCTAAACCTACATCATTCTTCTAACTAGAATACTTTGCACTCATTTTCAAGATCTTTCAGCCACCAACTTTAAGTAAAACAAATGGAGTCCTGTCAAATAAGAAAGAAAAAGAAAAAATTCTGACTTCTCCTATGGGTCTCTCGTGAGATTATGGCAAATGATTATCATACTTCAATATATTCATAAAATATAAATGCAATTATTACTGGATACTCATTGTTGTTTACTCATCTAATGAAAAAACTGAAATGACAGACCTGTGTAGTGCCACAGTCACTAAGGAGGTAAGTGTCTTATCAGTTTGCTTTGCCTGAGTCACTGGCAGAACAGGACCCGGATGTCTTATATTTAAGATCATGAAGAAAAATAAGCCATGCTTTAAAAACTCCTTTGATAAAGAATGCAATATCAAACAAAACATAGTCACTTCTGATGGTCAGAAACTAAGTACCAAGATAAATAATCAATAAAGAGAGGGAAATTGATAAACTTAGTTTGGCTTTGACTTTGGACTATGAACTGGCAAATGCAGATTCAAAGCCACCAGCCTGCTAAGAAAACCCAGTCCGATTCCTGGCAGTCTAGTTTCATGTTAAAAGAAATTGCATCTTCTGTGGGTCGCTTTCCTGGCCTATTTCTTCTGTATGCCTATGGAAACATGTGGTAGCTAAATTATTTATAGGCCAACAGAAGGAGGAAGAGAATGATAACTCCATAAAGCAAAATTATCCTCGATACTATGCCTGCTTTTTTATTACAAATGGGTACTTTTGCTAACAACTGTTAATGCCCTTGGCATTTCCCTATTAATACTAGCCGCCTCCAAGCTTGTCCCTTTCACAACACTAAAGGGAGGAAGGAAACCTCATTCATCGTTTTGTATTTAACCAAGATTCCCTTTGGCAGCATCCCATAGCAAGAAGGCTGATGGCCTGGGCAAAACCAGTCTTTCTTCATTGGCTCAGGCACACAGGCACTCAAAGCTCCTGGACATGCTGCCAAAGCTTTGTTTGCAGCGCCTGCACCATTCTACACGGGAGCCCAGAGAGAGCCCTTCCACATGGCTGCAATCCGATCTGGGTGCTAACCTTTTAGTTTCAACTTGCAGTGGATCAGTTTTTCTTTCACTCACAGGTATTAATGTTTATATTAACAGAACTACGGTGCTATGACTTTTCTTACACTATAAATGTAAGTTATGATGGTGATGTTTACCTTTTAATTCAAAAGTACTGCTTTCATCACGAATCCCATTGATTTCCTTGGACTCGGTATTCTGGAAAGAATACAAATGCCAGTTAACAACATTCTCTCCAATTGGACTTTGGGCTTAAATAATGCATTTCCTGTTAATGCAAATATCTTTTAGTCAAATGAATTGTTGAGGATATTAATGTATTCTTTACAGCCTTTTACATATACAGTGGGGCCTTGAATTCGTTCCGAGACCGAGCTCGTTAAGGAGCTCATTCAGGAGCTCGTTAACTCAAATTACTCTATCAACTCAATGCAAAAAATCGGCCGAGAGACAGCTAGTATCTCAAAAAACTCGTTAGTCGGGACACTCCTAAGTCAAGGCCCCACTGTAATAGATACTTTTTTTTTACTCTTTAAAATTTGTGGAAGGATTAATGACCAGCTGCAAGCATGGATGGCTTTAAGTTCAATCAGTCATTAATTTTCTAAGAAACAAATAATGATTAGTCCATCCGGCTTGTATTTATGATTAAGTAACATAGTTATATAGGATTTTCTAACATTTATACTTGTCTTACACGATGTAGCAGGACCTCCTTAATAGATAAAAGAGGGTATCATAGGATAACAACAATATATCTAGGGAGTCAATATAAACATTTATTTGAAAGTTTAAATCTAAGTATTCCTCTGATACTTAGAAAACTTTCTACATTATAATTATTTTAATCAATTAATGTAACAGGGTATCTTTTAACCACATATGTAAGTCTACCCACCAAATTCACCTACTCAAGATTAAAAATGCTTCATGGGGTTTTAAATTGCACACAATTACTATACTTATTTTACCAGTAAAGACCAAAGAAAGCATAGAAAAGCCATAGTATATAATTTTACATAATTAATACTTCACATTCACAAAGATCTGAGAAATGGGTATAATGATGAAAGATTGGTAAGAAACACCTGCAAAACACCAGTATGGGATCTTTTGATTTTACCATTATATAACTCATTATTACTCTAATTATTAATGAGTAATGCTCATGATGTTTAAAAATACATTTTACTCTCATTACTATAAATGATCTTATTTAATTATGTGGTTTTTAAAGTAGCATCAAAATTGTCCAGACAAAATAAATTCTTCTCCCCCAACATACATTTCCTACAGTTGCTTTGCTCTAAACAAATATTCCTCCTCAAAATACTTACAGAATTCTGAAGGCTTTCTGAGAAATCAGTCATTATTGATAGATTTGAAGATCTGTCTGAGTTGTAAATTCCAGAAGTTGCATCAATCCACTTTGTTTCAGGTGAACCTATAATTTTGGTAGCCATACTGGTGAGATTGAGGGTTTTATGCCGTATAAATGGCAGGGAAGGCTGGTCTTTGCCCCAATCTGATTGGCACGTGAAGATCAAGAAATGAGTACACATAAATGTTGAAGTGGAAAGAACAAAGTTACTGAATGCACACATACAATATGCACATACACAAGATAGACAAACAAATCAGGCAGTGTGTGAAAGAAATGAAAAGTTTAAGGATTTTTACCAAGAGACCACCTTCCGAAAACACAAGGGTTAGATCATGTTAATAATGAAAAGACTAGCAAATTTGCTGAATCTTTCTGTAAACCAGGACTGGAAATTAGTTTTTTTATATCAAAAGTTGGTAGGTCTGTGGTGGTTGAATGTCCATTCCCATCTAACTTCTGTAACTAAGAAACACAATAATGAAGTGTATTTTGAAAGTTTCTTGAGAATGAAAGGCCATCCCCATTTCACTTCTATAACTAAGAAATGTAATAATGGAATGTATTTTGAAGGTTTCCTGAGAATGAACAACAGGAATATGGCCTACCATGTTCTCTCTTACACCGGTTACAGTTTTGGTGCTGTAGAGAAAGTCGAGTCGTAGTCTAATTCTTAATACTCAACATTATTACATGACTCCCCAATGTAGATACAATTACAATAGCCTTCAAAAAACATGAGAGAGATATTAGAACAAATTTTTAAAAAACAATAATCTTCAGTTGATATAGGCATTCAAAGTCAGCCAAGCATATAAGTCAGTCACTAAATAATGTAGAATTCAGTAAATTTGCTAGTGAAAAGTTTTCAGACAGACTATTCAAGGAAGTATTACTCATGATTTGTCTTGACATAACCAAAAAAATATCTTTAAGCAAAAAATTCAAAAAATTAAAAGAAAAAATTGTTATTGAAGCAAGGTGTTATAACCACTTGCCAAAGACCAGTTCCCAATTTAAAAAGCCAGACACAATGATAAACCAACTCACCAGACTTTCCATACCGCCTAATATCCATTACTAGGTTTCCAGTTTCTTGAGCATTAGCCATGGCTTCTTCCCACTCTTTTGTGTCCTTATATGAAAACTTGGTATTGTTGATGGCAATAATTTCATCATCTACCTGTAGCTGAGAAAATTCTGCTGGGCTACCTAAATAGAGCAAAATAAACAACCAATTTAAAAATAAACAGGTCCTACAGTCATTGATTATTTAAATTAAAGAATAAATGACTTTTTAACCTCAACTAACCATTTCTCATAATTTTTTAGGTGAAAAGGAGTCACAAAATTTCTTAGTTATCAAACATTTGAGTATCAACAATACACAAAGCACCAGAGGCATATTTTATTGTATAGTATATGTCATCTTCATTAACATTTAAAGAACAAATGGTAAGTTCATCTGTTCAAAAAAATTTTTTATTAACCTCCTAAGAAAAGAGAAAATGTTTAATTATTTTAAAATTTTAAATGTGTAATAAACTGCATTTTAGTTGAACTTCCAAATCCAAATGTATTTTGAAACAGAAGAAAAGAGGGCCACTTAAAGCTGATTAAAATTACTACTTACCATTATCTCATTGGAGAAGTCTTAAAATTTCAAAGAAAAAGCAATTTAGCATGCAATTTTATGTAGTTAAAATATGCAAATGAGGAACTCCTCTTAAATACCATAGTTTCCTTTTTAATTTTAGGCCCCGTGGTAAGAGTTCAGGGCTTGACTTGGCATAGTCCTGGGTGGGGGTGGGGCAATCCTTTTGTAAAAGTCCCAGAGCATCCTGAGGTCTCCATAGGCCCTAGTTGTATTAGGACGCTCAGAAAACACCATTTAATTATACAGCACAGAGAGATCTACCACATACACAGATGATTGGGTTCTATTAGCATTTTCAAATATTAAGCCTAACATTTTAACAAATAAATTCTGTAAAAGTCACAAAAATAAGACTCTTCAAAACTACAATTAGTTAGGCAAGGAGAACAAACAACATGTAGTTTGTAACTCAACTATCAGTCTCAGGGAAGAGGATGTATCTTCTCGCTTTACTGCTGCATTTTCCACATGTGTGCTCTCCTGTATCAAATAAACCAATGTCTGGGGGTGGGGGGAACAGCATAGGGTTTCAAAGGAGAAGAAATTTCAGTAGAGCAAAATCTATAAATTACCTGCTTCCACTGATGCTATGAAGATCCCGGAAATATCCCATTTTACTGCAAACCCAAAGTCAAGGCCGTTCCCAGGCGTCTGGTTTATGCTGATTCTCATATCGCTGAACTGATCCTGAAAACAAACATGAAACGGTGTGATCAGGTGTCCCTGGCACCCACGTGGAGGAAAGTCTATCCATGAAAGAAGGGAGGCTGCAGGCAAGGGACACTTCAATTATTTCATGATCAACTGGGAGCTTCATTCTTTTTCCTGGGTTTGGAAAAACCTTCATTTATATAAATATTACCAAGTTTATTATTTTTCTTCTAAATTAGGGGAAATTTATATCAACAGATGTTTTTCTTCACATTGATATAAAAAATCAGTTGGCCATTGATAAAGCTTTTATGCTTTTGCTCACCATATAATTGGGTCTAATGTAAAGACTATTTGTTTATACCCAGGAATGCAGTTGAGTGAGAAAATGTGTGTGTGTGTGTGTGTGTGTGTGTGTAATGGAATATTCTTAAGTCCTGAGAAAAGGAACATTCTGCCATTTGCAACAACATGGATGAACCTGAGTGTATGGTGCTAAGTGAGAAAAGTCATGCAGAGAAAGACAAGTACTGTATGATACCATGTATGTGTGAAATGTAAAAAAGCCCAGCTTATAAAAATAGAAAATGGTGTTTATCAGGGGATGGAGTTGGGGAGATAGGACAGATGTTAAGGGTACACACTTGCACAAAGTAGTTAATAAGCCCTAGAGATATAATGCACAGTAAAGTGAACATAGACAACATATTGTATTAAAATCATCACACTTGTTAGAGAATAGAACTTAATGATTCTAACCTCTAAAGAGAAAAAGTAATTATGTAATGTGATAGAGGTGCTAATTAACACTACATTTATACAGATATAAATGTATCAAATTAACATGTTGTACACATTAAATTTACAGTGTTATATGTCAAATTCAATAAAATGTCAGTTTTAAAAATGCAAAAAAAGATTTAAATAATTTATTTTGAAAATGTCACTATGCTTAAAAAAAAAACAACACTTCCAACATTAAACTGAGCTAAATCATTTCAAGGGGTTCACAGACACATAATTCAGCGACCAGTAGCATGCTTATCTAGGACAGGTACCACCCCTAAATAGCATTTGAAATTTGGTGAGGCATTTCTGCTTGCCCCACTGCCACATGAAGACAGAGCTGCTAGACAGCTGCAAGATGCTGAACTATGTGATCTTTGAGGAACCAGCAGTAAGATGTCAAAACACCCCCTACTGGGACACCCTGAGCTGTAGGCCACAACTTCCTTGAAGTGACATTAGCTCAACAGCCACCTGGACAATAGGTAGAATTTTATTTCTGTGTCCATCATTATACTACACAGCAATAAATTCCAAGTTGCACAGACTTTCTTAAAGCCATCTTCTAAAACAAACATTTTAAGTTTTACAGTATCCTATGCCTGTGGAAATTTAACTATGCTTCATCATTTGCATGCTTTGTTTTGGGTACACAGCAGATATGAAGTTTAGCATAATGAGTTTTCCAGACTAGTGTTTTTAGTTCTTTGATTCATAATCATAAAGAACTTATGCTTAAGAGTTTAAGATATATATATATTCTTAAAGCCACTGTATTTTTCAGAAAAATACCTACAACTTCTCCATTATAATTTGGCAGTTAAACTGAAACTTAGGCCCTACTGAGCAATTCCTAAAGCCTTATGTTTAATTTTTTTAACCTCTAAAACAGGTTTAAAATCCAAGTGACAATATTCTGAGAAAAAAATTTCTCATTATTTAAGAATTAGAAGGAAGACAGTAAATAAAGGATTGAGAGCATATTATGTAATATGGGCACAAAAGTTAGGTGCTATAACAATGCTCGCTTATTCATTTGCTCAACATTCATTAATTGTACAACTTATTCTGTAAATGACACAGTGCTTAGCACGCTGGGAAATACAGATGGATTAGGCATGGCTCTTGCTCTTGAGAAATAATTACTGACTCTTCAACAGTGGGTATGGAATTTTTTAAGAAAAAGTTTGTAACCAATAACATAAAAAGATTTCATCAGAAAGCTTGTAAAGCAGTTTAAATATGGGAACTCAGATGCAGCTAGTGAGAATGCTCATTAATAATCAGCCTAAACACCAATCCCCAGAATAAAACTCTGCTATGAATAGACAAAATTACTGGTTAGTTCTACTCCTTAACTAAAACCACCATACATTTAGAGATGACTCAATAAAAATAATTGGTCATCTTCACCACTCTTACCCTCCCAAATTCCAACTTAAACCCAATTAAAATGCAGAATCTATTGCTATATAAGGGCAGAGAGGCAAATGATAGGTTAGATATTCAAGGCACTAGCTGAGGTTTTTATCATGAAGAATAAAAGACAGGATGGAGACTTAATAAATAGTCTCAAACTACATAAAGAACACTTTGTGGGAGACAGCAAGTGAATATTATCATTTTCTGGCAAATACAGGATAAAAGCGAACAAGTTTAAGCCATAGACGGAAGTCTCCCAATTATATTAGTCCAGAAGAATTATCTCACAAAGGGCTGCTCTTACCTTGGAAATAAATCTCTACTTGAACATATTCAACAAAAGGGCAGATAACCACCTCCCCGGAAGTTAACAGAGGACAGCCCCACTGTGGCTACAGCCTGGCAGACTGTTGTGTGTGGATCCTTGGGACTGTACACGGGCAAAGAAGAAGAACGAACCACCTGGATAATTACAGTCCATTCTGTCAATAACCAGGTGACCTCAGGCATGTCACTGCGCCTGACAGAGCCTTCTCTCTCACAAATACATTGATTTTCAAGTTTTTGTTTTTTAAAACCCTATTTTCAAGTGAAATCCTGATGCATAGCATGTCCCTCCAAAAGCAATATATAGAAAGGATTAAAGTCTGTGCTTATAGTTTCAGATTAGGGGCCCCAGAGCCCCACCTGCATGGCTTCCTCATGGCAATCCCTCAAGCATCTCTGTGGAGTTCAAGGTTATTAAATTAGGTTATCCCTGAGACTTCTTACAGGGCAGTAAAGCTATAATTATAGTCAAGCATAAACTATTCAGCAATGATTTCACTTAGAATTTTTACTTCCATGTTTTTCTCTGCATGATGCATGTCACATGAGTATTCTACAAAGGATCCATGCTTCAGAAGATAATGGAGAATTACCTTTTGAACTGGATGGAACCATGAATATAAATTATGGGGGGAAATCTAGATTCTTGATGGCTGACAAACTACTATCCCAAGTAGTTTAAGTACTCTATGCCAAGAACGGTAAAATATAGTTATTAACATATCAGCACTTAAAAATGAAAATAATTTCCTTCAAATCAGGTATCATTTAAACAGAAATATATACTGAAAACTGTGATTTTAAAACAAAAACATGATGATCTGGAGTAGTAATAATAAAATTTATTTTTATGATCTAGTGAACTAAGATTCTCATATATCACCACAGATGAGAATTAATGAAAAACAAGGTCAATCTTACAAAATAACAAGAGTTATTCTCCTCAACTTTTCCAATTAGATAAATGTTTACTTAAGGCAGTGATGGCAAACCGATGACACGCGTGTCAGAGGTGACACGCGAACTCTTTTTTGGTTGATTTTTCTTTGTTAAATGGCATTTAAATATATAAAATAAATATCAAAAATATAAGTCTTTGTTTTACTATGGTTGCAAATATCAAAAAATTTCTATATGTGACACGGCACCAGAGTTAAGTTAGGGTTTTCCAAAATGCTGACATGCTATAAAGTGAGAAATGCCAGAGGACATAAATAATCGTGGGTTTCTGTACACATGGCATTTGAGTGTCTTTTTTTCCCAGGGTCTAAGGCAGTGGTTCTCAACCTTCTGGCCCTTTAAATACAGTTCCTCATGTTGTGACCCCCAACCATAAAATTATTTTCGTTGCTACTTCATAACTGTAATTTTGCTACTGTTATGAATCATAATGTAAATATCTGATATGCAGGATGGTCTTAGGCGACCCCTGTGGAAGGGTCGTTCGACCGCCAAAGGGGTCTCGACCCATAGGTTGAGAACCGCTGGTCTAAGGTGAGCCTTCAAATCATGGCTCTGATCCGGCACTGGACTAACCTCCTTCACCAAAGAGACTGTATACCTCCTTCCTCCACTTCCCCATTCCAAAGACTCAGGGCGTTTCCAGCTCTGCCACTTACTCAACCCTTTCCAAGCTTATCCCCTACACGCCCCACATTGGGGATCAAGCCCACAACCTGAGCATGTGCCCTGACTGGGAATCAAACCCTGACTCCTGGTTCATGGTTCGATGCTCAACCTCTGAGCCACACTGCTGGACACCAACAACTATTCTTGTTTCTAGGAAATAGTCTTCCAAGTCATCTATTCTTTCACTTTCTCTTGCCTTTCTCCTCCATCTTCCTACACGCACCACACTGGGGATCAAGCCCACAACCTGAGCATGTGCCCTGACTGGGAATCAAACCCTGACTCCTGGTTCATGGTTCGATGCTCAACCTCTGAGCCACACTGCTGGACACCACCAACTATTCTTGTTTCTAGGAAATAGTCTTCCAAGTCATCTATTCTTTCACTTTCTCTTGCCTTTCTCCTCCATCTCTCTGGACACATCAGTTTCATTAGTATGTTCTTCTTCTTTCCATTTTCATTTTGTTGTTCCCTCCATAGTCCCCCATCTTTGTGACTACAGGCTTTCCTGAGTAACCTCCTTCATTGCTATATCTTCAGCTACTAACTAAGCCCAACATATCCAAAACTACATTCATTATCCTCCTCCCCTCACCTGCTCTTCCACCTCTTGCTTTTTATATATTGGTTAATTACATCACTATTCAACCAGATGCCTATGTTAGAAACACCAGGTTCTTTCTGGGGCTCTTCCTCTTTTCTTCTCCTAACTGCCCCCCATCCCAACTCCACACAATGATCCTCACCTGCAGTATCCATCACACACACATGCATTTAATAGTGTTGTCAAGTCCACAATCCATAATTCCACCTGGAGCCACCCCATCCTTCCATCTTCCTTCAGGTTATCGTCTTAGTTTGGTGTCCCCGCTACACTACTGTGGTCACCTCCCAATAGGCCTCCAGTTTACTTTCCCCATCTTCCACACAGCTGCCAGAACTTGAGTAAAGAACATGGCAATTATTATATTGCACCTTATTTAAATGCGTGTAGTTCCTTACTGTCTACTGGGTAGATTTTAAACTCTACAATTCAAAAATAATTCAGCTCTGATACATATATACCTTCCTCAAAACAATCTTAAGAATTATTTTATCTTTATAAACCAGAAGGTATTTCCGTCCCTGTGGCCTCCAAAGTTGTAAAGACAGGGCAAAGTAAAAATAAGTCAACATTTGGTGTTTTTCCTTAAGGCAGTTCTCAAATTTGAGCCTGTCATATTTCATAAACATTAAGGTCAGGGAAATCATAATTGTGGCCTGATCATTTAACTGGCCTGGAGCATGAATATAACTTTCAAATCTCAAGAATTTCACTGGTAATAATGTGGGTGATACCACCTACTTTGCAAGGTTATTGAGAGGAACAAATGAAACATTTAAAAGGTGCCAAGGCAGGTGGTTGATGCCTAGTAATTACCTTCTTTTTCCCATGGAAACAATGTTATCCATTACATATATGCTGGTTAAGCAATTAGAGAAAATCCTATTTAACACTCACAAACATAGCTATGAAGCCAACAGCACTCAATCAGCATTCAGCAAATACAGATCCAGGCACTGTGCTAATAGCGAGCAAGACCAGCTTGTTTCCTGCCTTCACACAAAGTCAGCTCTAGTGAAGGTGACAAGCAAATAAAATGCATGGTATGAAGCTGTGATAAGGGAAGCCCTGGGTGTTATTAAAAGGGGCATTTAATAGGCTCAGGGGTCAGGAAATGGACATGTAAAAAGCTTCCTTCCTTCCATACCTATCATCCTACATCTGGGTACTGCTTTAAAAAAAAATCTGGGGAACAGATTCCAAAATGTGGGCTTGGATGGGATTTGAGAATTCAGAGCTCTGACTGGAAAAAATAAAATGAAAACCTGTAGGTAATGCCAATTTGGGGGGGGGGGCGGGATGAAAGCCACATTTGTGGGCGGTTAGAAGAGGATGAAGGACTCTCTCCCCTTGCTCGGGGTGACCCCCAGAATTGTCCCAGCAGCCTGGACTGGCAAGGGAAGCAGGCGACGGAGCAACACAAAAAGAGAAATAGGGAGAAAAGGAACAGAGAGGACTAAAACCCCAGAGCTCAGCAAAGGAGATGGGAAAGAAACCCCTGGAGGCAGGAAATGAGGTCATATTAATTTCTTCCCTTCGTTATGCCTTTCCTTTTTTATGGCATAAACCCACAATTCTGTGATAGGCTCCTAACCAGTCTCTGCCCCAGACTTCATTTCCTTAAAATAGTTCTATGCAACATCACAGTGCTTACGTTCCTAAAACACCCATTAATCTTAAAATTCCCTCATTAAAGATCCTATAAGGACCTAAGTGACCTGCTGGATCAAGTTTATACTTCCGTCTAGTAATCAGGGCCGTAAATGCAAATCAAGTCAGTAAACACTTCCAACTCTGTGCAAAGGCTGTGGAGGGTATAAAGAATACCAGTGATGAGACACAGTGAACGCATGGAATAAGGAAGAATTCAGCAGATGAAGCTTTCAAGGGTGGAAAATTCAATTCGGACTTGGGGAAGAAGATATTTGTATTCACAAAGGAAATGACCCTCCTGGGCTGTAAAAGAACAGGAGGACTTCTTTAAAAGACAGAAATGGGTGAAATAAACAATTTCAAATGGGGCGACAATAAAAACAAATATTTGATGTGTTCAAGGAAAAGCAAGCAGTCTCATTTGGTTAGATCACCTACTTCCTCTCTCTTTCCCACAACATAGTGTGGTGTAGGTAGGTAGCTTGAGTCAGACTGCCTGGGTTCAAATCCTGACGCCACCACTCAGTACCTTGCACAGCCTTGGACAAGTACTATGCTCACTCCGTGCCTCAATTTCCACAACTATAAAGCAGTGATCCAAAGGTCACTGAGGACTAAGATAATGCCCTGAGACACCTGGGGTTGGCACATGGTAATCCCTCAATAAACAGCTGCTAACTGCACTACTAAAGGAGTTTGAGACCAGTGATGAGGGACCTCAATACTCCCCTGAATGCCCTGAACTTCACTGCACAGATCACTGAGGCTTTGCAGCTGAGAGATTAGTCCAACCTGGCACCACACAGGTGCCTCCGATGCCAGCCTCTGTGGAATGCACAAACACACGTGACTATTTACAAAGCATCTGCATTAAAGGGAACAGGGCCTGAACTTCCACTGAAGCAGGGAGAGAAAAGTATAACATCAAGGAAGATTCTGGAGGAAGAAAGAAAAGGAGATTACTAGCAAAAGTGCAAGTAAAGAACGAGAATGAAGGCCCGAAGAACAATTATAAAACTACCAAGACATCAAGTTCAGCCATGGACTATGCTTTTATTTTTCCATTCTCTGAACTCCTGGAATTATAGTTTGGCCAAGAGTTTGGAGGAGTGTTCCATATGCCTTGGCATATTAATGACCAACTGTTTTAGGCCTTCACAGTGTTTTTCCCAAGGCAGTAAGTCCCTTTTCAGTGACAAGGGTGGGGGGATGCTACATAAGCTACTTCCCTCAGAGCGCAGAAGTGACACACCAGGCATCGTGGTGATGGACAAGTGGCCATATGACACATACCCATGTTCAAGAATTCGAATGGTCCCACTTGTTAAATGAAGCCTAATTTTGCTTGGGAGAAGATCACTTCAAGTTTGGTGACAAAGAAGCCTAAACCCATTAAGGATAAAACCTGACACCATGCCATGTTAATTCAGGTTCCTCTGACCTGCACTAACCTGGAACATACCCACTCACCACACTTAGCCTCTTTTTCTTAATCTGTGATGCAGCTAGTCAACTGTCACCCTGAGGGAGTTGGGTGCACCTAGCGCCAACACACTAAGCAGGCTGCTTGTTTGGATTTGCTGTTTGAAAGGGGAAGGCTTACATGCAAGTCCATAAAACAAAAGACACCTGGCTGCTGTTTCTATTATTCATCCACTAGTACCTTATGTTCCCCAAGTATAACATAGGCTATTGTTCTCATCTGAAACTTACAATGCTAATTAATATTTCCAATTCTTTAAAAATGAAGTTAAACACCTGAAACTGGTACAAAATTTCATTAAATGTAAACTGTAATTGAAAAATAAAATTTTTAAAAGTAATAAAACAAAATAAAAATAAAAAGTTATAAAAGTAACTTACAAGTAATGATTTTAGCAAGCTGCAAAAATTTCTTTTAGATAGGTTTGTAAATATGCATGGGAAACGCTGAAAGAAATATACCTAAATGCTAACAAAGGTTACCCATTAATGATGGAATTACTTTCCTGCATTTCCAAATTTATGCAACTACATAGTACTTTATAATCAGAAGAAAAAGCTTAAAGCTGTAAAACTTTATAGAACTAATAAAAATCCAATATACCAAATAAATATGCTATTTCGAATTATTTCACATGAAGTCACTTCATGAATATAACATAGGCCAAGTTGTATACTTCATGTTGTACTTTGGAAAACAAATAGGAAGAAACCAGAGAAATCTACACTAAGCTAAAGAACCACAAAGGCTCCTCCATGCAAAGGGATTAATATATTAAAGTGCTTACGAAGGGTTTTTTCCTAAAAGAGAAAAGCTTGATCCAGACAACCAACAGCTTTATAGCCTGTGTGTAAAACATACTAAAAAAACAGTCATTACTTAATAATTCTGTTGTCATCTTTGGGGATTTGAAGAAGGAAAAACTACAAATACCTCCAGTCATTCTTCATCTGATGGTATATTTGTTTGGATTCCAAATGTTAAGGAACACAATTGTCATACTATAACTAACCCTCAATATTACCATTAGGAGACAGTGAGTGGTTCAAAATTCTAGACTTTCTAAAGTATAAATGAGCATTGAAAGTCAGTAGAAGGTTAATATGATAGAGGAAGAAATGCCATGTCCCTAGAGGCCCGTACCTCTCGTGTGCACCAATTTCTCCTTGCGGTCAGTTAATGTCCCCGAAAAGGGGCCTTTATTACCCATTTATCTATTAGACCTGCATCGAAAGCTTCCTGAGTGAGTCCTGCACCTGAATCCAGGACTGCTGTGCAGCGTAAAGGCAGCAGCTGCTGAAATGGGCGGTAGAACGAACACCCAGATAAACCCCAAGGAGACTGGCCAATGGTCTCAATACACCCAAGTCACAGGGTCATCTGAATCCATAAAATCAGAGTTGAAAGAGACCTACTTCCTCCCAGATCTGCTCAAAATAAATGCAATCTCACATTCCACATTATCAGCCCACATAGCCGATTACAACGCCTAGAAACATGGGTTAGAGGTATGGGTTCCAGTTTAAATACTTGTGTTTCTGAGCCTGGGTGATTAAACGCCTTCCCCAACTCACCTTTGATCGTGACACGTCTGTCTGTGGTGAGCTTCTCCCTTCTCCAAGTTCAGACATTGAATTGGGGCCAGATACTGAAGACCAGGTAGCATTAGAAGTGGAAGCCCAGTCCTGGGAGAGAGATGAGAAGGGGGGTGTAGGAGAGGGCAACCTCATCATACCCTCTCCCGATGTCACTGCCTCTCTTTCACCAAAGGAGCTGGAAGCCAGCTGGCTTGGGTCAGATTTTTGCACAGAGGTGCTGACCGAACTGTACTGAATTCTCTTAACGCCTTCTACATCTCCATTATACTTCCAAACGTCATCCATCTAAATAGGAAACATGATTTTAAACTTGGTATTGTTAGATTTCTGTTTTAAAATGTGTACAGTAATATTTAGTAAAGATTACCAAAAGCTTGGAGCGTATTCTTTCATACCAGCGTAGGAGGAGGAGGAGTTGTTTTCATAAGTGTTTATATAATAAACAGACCTCTGAAACTTGCTTTGCTCAATTACATTAGTTCAGGTCAGTAGATAGAATTCTACTCTTTTTAACTGTTGAATACTCTATAGTATGGGTATCTACAAGTTACTTATGTCACATGCATTCAATGCTGTTCAAATTTTTCTGTAACTTCCAAAAACATTGCAACAGGTACCCATATATCTTTATAATCAGAATATTTTTATAGCACAGATTTCCCAAAGTGGACTTGCTAGACCAAAGGATATTTATATATAAATATAAATTATATATAATATCTTTTAAAAATTATAGCAAAGCACACCCAAAGCAATGTATAAAAATGTCTGTTTCACCTGGCCAGTATGGTTCAGTGGTTTAGCATCAACCCATGCACCAGGAGTTCACTGGTTCAATTCCCAGTCAGGACACATGCCTGGGGTTTGGACTTGATCCCCAGGGGCTGGTGTGCAGGAAGTAGCAGATTGATGTTTCTCTCTCATCAATGTTTCTAACTCTCCCTTCTCCCTCTCCCTTCCTTTCCCTCTAAAAATCAATAAGAATATTTTTTTAAAAAAAGAATGTTTGTCCCTAACTGGTTTGGCTCAGTGGATAGAGTGTCGGCCTGTGGACTGAAGGGTCCCAGGTTCAATTCCAGTCAAGGGCATGTACCTTGGTTGCGGGCACATCCCCAGTAGTGGGTGTGCAGGAGGCAGGTGATTGATGTTTCTCTCTCATCAATATTTCTAATTCTCTTTCCCTTCCTCTCTGTAAAAAATCAATAAAAATATATTTTTTTAAAAAAGAATGTTTGTTTCTCTGTATTCTTGACAACACTAGACATTTTGAATCTGATAGATGAAAAGTTGTACACCTCATGCTTGTTCTAATGAGGTTGAACATGCACCTGGGTCCTTTATGTTATCAACCATTAAATCCCCTCTCTTGAATTGGCTATTCATTTCTATACCCATTTTCCTACTGGTTTATCTTTTCCCTACCAACCTGTAGGGCCATTTTAAACCTTAGGGATATTGACACTATATTTATAATACATTCTAATAATATCTTTCCAAGTCTATAAATTATCTTTTGACTATGATAAAAATATCTGTCACATAAATTTAATTTTTATGTTGTCAAATTAAGATAATGATCAGGAGTTCTTCCTGGCTATTTAGACAAGTTTCCCTCACTTCAATTTTGTTTTAATCATATTTTTTCTCTTTTAGATTTTAAGATTCCACATTGGCAGAGAAAAAAGAAACTTGAACATTGATAGTAAGAAGTGCATTGCTCATGCATATAAGCATAACTAATGGACACAGACACTGGGGGGTAGGGGAGGCCAGGGGATTTTCAAGGGCGGGGGAAAAAAAGGAGAAACATGTAATACTCTTTGTAATAATTTAAGCAATTAAAAAAAAAAAAAGATTTAAATTAAAATCTTAACTCAGCCAAAAAAAAAAAAAAAAAAGAAGTGCATTGCTTCCTTTTACATAATGAAAATTAGTAAACCTACTTTCAAGTTTGTGATACTGCTTTATTCTCAGGGCAAATGATTCCATGTTTTTAAAAATACTAATATAAACAGAAATAAATATGCAATTTTTGAACATAAGATACATTTTAATAACTACACTCAAACATATCAAGTTCTAATGAAGTAGAAAATGGGGAAAAATAAACATTTGTACAGAAGAACTGAAAATATTTAAGTCAAACCATATGAAACTGCTGTTTTGTAAGTCTAAAAGAACTGACAACTGGAAACTTCATATAGTTCAATCTAATACTTCACAAAAGCTACATCTGAGAAAATCTGATGCTAAAAAATAAATTCTCTGCCTTAGAATGTAGCTTATTCATTCTTCAAAATGTATCAGTTCTCTTTTCTTTTTTTTATTGAATTTAAAGCTTAATCAATTCTGCATCATTGCTATATTTTAAGCATTAAGTAGCATTAAATATCTACGGGATCTACATTGGCTAAAATAAAAATTGTGTTATATATGTTATGTACAATTTACATATTAAATATACATAACTCAAACTTCTGCACAAGTACACCAACAGTTTGCTCATGAGAATAGAGTATATGAACTGAGAACTCGTTTTTACCGTGTAGGATCTCGGGAGCGATGAGATTCCTCTTGAGTGAGAGCCAAAAGGTCTCGGTGTGACCACAGATGTCAACCTAGCTGTATCAGTTTTCTGGTAACTTCTGGGGAGAGAAGCTGAAACTCGAGTCGACTCCATTTGTGTAGTCAGTGAACGCTGGGAAGACAAAGAGGCTGGGCGTTGTTCTTCCGTGGGGCTTTTAGAAGGAAGCCGAATTTCAGCTGGTAGAGTGTCCTCTCTTTTCACAACAGTTGTAGAATCTTGTTTAGGAATTTCTGTAGGATAAGTTGTTCCTTTCTCTTCTACTCTCTCACCCTGGTGACTTGCTTCTGACATAGTTAGTGTCAGGGGAAGCTTGTCTTCACTCAATACATCATCAGAAGAATATATTCTACTCCTCAATGTAATTGTAGACGTCTCATTTCGGGATTCCCTTAGCAGAAACACACCATAGCTGCAAAGTTATGCATTTGGCATTCAAAGGTGGGGAGACAGATCTTATTTTGATAATTAGCATATAAAATGAGCTGGGAATAATGTGCAATATAATACTAACTTCACACAATGTGCAATATAATACTAACAGAATATGAGGATAAATACATGCAGTTGTTTTATGCCACACTAAGAAATATTATAAGAGCTCGACTTTCCTTTTCAGAGAGGCTCTCAAATACTTCACAGGGATTTTTTTTAAGTTGTAAAGATAAATAAGGAAATGAAATTTTAATAAGGAATTATTCGCCAAATTTAGCCACAAGTTTATAAGTCTTCCAAAATTGACACACTACACATATAACTGCCTGACAACCAATTTGAACCCTCCAAAGACGTAGATTCCTTGTCAGCCCTGTATTTCCTGTACATGCTTTATAATAACTTAGTAAAAATAAAAGACTGCAAAAGACACAGATTTCTATTAAGATCAAGTTATTATCTAGTTTCATACAGCTTCATAGAATTTGCACAGTTATTACAGATTAAAAGTCACCATTCATACGTATAGAGAAAATGACGAAACAGCCTCATCTCTGCATTTAGTAAGGAGTGCCTCTGAAGCTGACAGCTGCATTTAAGTGAATGAAACTGTGTTTGCAATTGGCTTCTGGGGCATAAAGGAGCTTTGTGTAATTTCACCTGACAGCACATTTCCTTTCGACATTATCCTTAAAGCATATTTGCCGTTTCCCTGAGCTGTACATATCCCAAGGTTTCACAGAGTAACTGCTCTAACAGGAAATTTTAATTTGACCTTTATTCTGTTATGTTTCAATGCAAAAAAATAAACCCTCACAATTTATTTTTATAAAGTCTTCCTTTGAAATATAATGTTAATTGTACCACTGAAACATGAAAAATAACTCTGTTATATTTTACACAATTTAGTTGAGTGTGGGAGCTGGTTTTATTTGACCATTCCATTCCTAAATTCATTTTAAAAGGAGAAAAACAATAGTTCCTTTTCTGTGCCAAATACAGCCAATACCACCTAATTCTGCATATGAATATTCAATGTAAAATGAAGAAATAATGTATATCTATTTAGTACAAATTTCTTTTGTCAATCCAAGCCACTATTTTTCATAGCAATACTTTGCTTTTTCATGGCTAAGCAAAATGCTGAAAGTTTCATTGCATATTTGGTTACAGTTTAATCACCCTGCACATGCACAAAATGTCCATTTCTAACCCTGGTCTCTCTGACCAGGAGATCTATCCAGTCTATTACCTGTCCTGCAGCATTTCCTTAAATGTCTTAGAGCTTTTCTCAGATTTCTCCAGCGCCTGCTTTTCAATTTCTTCTCTCTCTTCTTTTTTCTTCTGCAAGTCTGAAGTGTAGCTTTTTCGACGATCTTTCCATTTTGCAAGGTCCTAACAGAAGAAAATCACATCAGCACAGGCATACCTGAATTGCTACACACCCTTTCTAGCAGTGCGAGCGTGCCAGCGGATCCCATTACATCGCTGAAACTATTCACTCCCACTCGATGCCAAGGTGCCCTAATTTTGCTTTTTATAGCCAGCGTTTCTGTACCAAGCCTTTATCTCATGTGTCTGCCTAAAAAACCTGACCTAATAAGATAGACCCCATTTTTGTTTTCCTGCCTCGTTGCCCATTTCACAAAGAATGCTAAATGCTTGTAATTAGGTGCCAGGTCAGAAAGAGCAGGAACTGTTTCAAGTTCATTTTCATCTCACTCCAAGAATCTGGCTGCTGTATGAAATGACATGTCTTCACCAGTAAAACTGGAAAAGAAGATGATTATAAAATGGTTAAGCGTGGATGCACACTGGGTCTTCCATTGAACGAGCCCTGAGCTCAGTCCCTGCTTGGAGGCAAAGGGTGAATAAACACAGATAAATCCGATGTGCTCCCCGCTCCCAGGAACTCTCAGTCTAGAAGGGGAAGACAGGCATGTAAATAAAAATTCAGCAACGAGTGCGATAGGGTTGCTGAGAGAGTCGGGGTCCAAAGGAGAGCATGGCCTACCTCAGGCAGGAGTTTCAAAAGGCTTTACTGGGGAGGCCAGCCTCGAGTACTGACTTCTTCAGAATGGAAAAACTTTACATAAGGACAGGGCAATAAGGAAGATCAAACAGAACAAGGGGACACCTGTTCCCATATTCCTAGGAAGGGAAGTCTCTCCCAGCCAGGTGAACCCAGGACGATCAACCTAGTTCACCTTGACATTAGCCCTGGCAGTCTAAGCTGGTTCTGACACCCAGGGGTTCAAGGCATTTTCAATGGTACAACCTTTTCTATGTCTCCCAAACAGAGAAGTGCCATACTAAGACCTGCTAGTCATTCCAGCCCAAGTAGGAGCCTCTCCAAGTTCTCAGACTAAATGGAATCTCACCCCTAGGACATGCAACTTTAAGTTTGGTTTAACCCCTCTGGGAGCAGACCAAGCTACTCTGCTTTAAAAACAGCCTGAAACCTATTTGAACTATTTGCAGAAAGAACAAAAGCAGTGTGCATTTTGTCCTATAGGATCACAAGCATGCATTTTTATCTGATCTAACCTAATTGATAACTCCTCAATACTTACTATTTTCACACCCAAACAGTTACCATGTATGTTGGCAAAATGACATTGAATTCCTGTTTCCTGACAATTAAACTGAGTCCCCAACTCAAAGAGGCACTGGAATTTTGAAATGTGGCCACAGCAGGGGGTTTCTCCTTCATGAATTAGACCTTAGTTCCTTTGAAAAATTAAGATTTACTCTCTCTGGGCCTTTTGTTCATGCTACCACTCAACTCTATCACCATAAAGATGTCCTCAAACATCTTTGGGTTTGCTTTCTATAGCTTATCATACTTATACACTGCTTTGGTTTATAACAATTACCCCTTTCAAAATAGGCCAAGCTCCTTTCTGTAGGAACAAAACTATGACAGTTCTGTGAAAACACCTAACTTTGATTCAGATTATACGATTACATTTTCAACCAAACTATTTCTTCTTAAATCTCCTCTACTAACTGTAAGAACCAGTTCATCTCTCCACGCTGATGCCCAGACTCTGCTGAGCCCCTGCCCCTCGGCTTCCCAGACCCTGAGCAAAGCTTCTTCCTTTCACGAGCATCAGTAACAGTCCCACCCGAATTCAACTACCAACGCACGTCAACAAGTTAGCAACACTGCCAGGAAGGACCTTCTCCTACAGGAGAATTCGGAGAATATTAGAAGATAAACAGCCTGTTGTGTTTTGCACAATGGCCTTTAAAATATACAACAGTAATGGACCAAGAAGGTTTAAAAATCTTCTTAAAGGAAGATGGTCACATTTTCTACAAGCCTGAATTCTTTCATAGCAAGGAAAATCACCTCTTGAGTACACTGACTTGGTTTGCAGGGAAGCAAAGAAAAGTCAAACCCACACACCTGCCCAGTCTTCCCATCTCCCAATACAAAGCATACTCACATCCTGCCATTTCTGATCTTGCTCTTTTAATTGGGATTTCATCTTCTGCATCTCCTCGTAACGCAGCTGCCGCAAGTTCTGAACATCCTCGGCGCTGACATCGCTCATGGACTTACTCCTATAACAAAAATACCCACGGTAACCAAGGTTCACATGACTGGATGTAGAGTTAAAACTGGGAGGTTGGGCTTAGACTTGGAAATTCCATCTAAATTTCTGCCGTACTACCTAGATGCTTTAGAGATAATATCACAGAAATAGCACTACAGAGATAAATGGTGTTTTTCCAAAACGCAGAAACAAGAGCCTTGCATGCAACTCAAGTGTGAATTCTTTCACAAAATGGCTAAATGAAACCTCCTACGTCTGAAAAAAAATCCAATGCTCATATTTAGAGTGGTCTCTGCATAAAAGAATTGTTTCAGAAAAAAAAGTAATTATTATTAGTCACTAGAATCATTTGTCTTTATTTTTCTATCTCTCCCCAAGATAATCTTTTAAGGTTTGGCTGCCTTTTCTGGACACTTATTAAATAATTTAATGATTACCTGATATTTTCTCCTCAAGTTCAATAGCATGAATAAGTGTGCTGACTTTTCTCAAAGATTGTATACCACCTGCCCACCACTGCACTGGACTTGTTCTCAAAGCACCACAGGTAGTTTCTAATACCCAGTTATAAGATAGCCTCCATAGCTTTCTTTTTATTAAGGAAGCTCTCATGTCTTCCATGGGGGTCCCCTGCCATGAGGATGTACTGAGAGTTAGCTTTCACAGAGCTCAATCTAGAGTAGAAACCGATGAACAAAGTTGGGTGTCAAACACAAGGCACATGTGTGCTACATACATGCACCCATAAAAAGTTGGGGTAAACTGCCCCCAGAGATGGTGAAACTGAGGGGGGGAAAAAAGAGTGGAGTCAGGTCTAATATTGAATAGCAGCTGGAATGAGTGAAGAGAGAGAGAGAGACAGAGCTTTTGAAGGTGGGGTGCCCAAAATGCTCTCTCCTACAAATCTTTCATATGGCACTACTGATTTTATTTCATTGTAACTGACTCCACCTTTATTCATTTAAGTAACACGACACCTCCTTCTTGGGCCCCTAAACTTTGCCTTCCCCTAGATCTTGCCATCACCACATTACTTAGCTCAGGAATTCAATTATAATCTATACAAATGACTCCCAAATCCACAGACGAGGACCAGTCGCCTCCTTAGACTCAATTCTAATTGCTCATTAGATAAACATCTCTGCATGGACATCCCCTAACCATATAAATTGTAAAAGGACCAAATGAAATAATATCAAAAAGGATTCTGTAAACAGTAACTCACTAAACATATGGTTATTGTTAATGTGGCCAAATTCAATTCTGTCCCCAACCCTGTTTTTCCTCCTATAGCTGTTAGTAGTGTTGCCTGCCCTCCAATCGTCCACATCTGAAACCAAAGAACCATTTTTCACCTTTGCCTCTCCCTTCTCCTTACTTTCAATTAGTTATCAAGTCCTCTTACTCAGTGTCTTTTTCTTTCCATTTCTATTGCCAACACCCTAGATCAGAGCACAGTCAACTCTTAACTAGACTTTTTAAAAAGCTTCTTAAATTATCACCCAGTCTCCAGATCCCATGATGGTCTTTCCTGAACTGTTCCCTCCACTCAAAAGCCCTTCCCCAGTATATATGCCTTTTCAAATGCCCCTGTCCTCAGGAATCCTGCTAGACTAAACTCCAAATGGGTGTAAGCAATGTCCACTTGGAAGTCTAACAGGTCAAAGTTGTCACAGACCAAAACCATGATTGCTCATTCTACTATCTGCTCAAAACCCATCTTTCTCATCCCAATAAAAGTCAACACAACGTTCCAGATTGTAGGCCAAAATTCTTGGAGTCATCCCAGACTCTTCTCTTTCTCTCATACTTGTCACTGATCTCCTTAGTAAAACCTGTCACTCTACCTTCTAAATATATCTAGGATACAACCACTCCTCATCACTTCCTTGCTCCAGGCTATTAATCTCCTGCTGTATTATCACAATAATCTGTCTCCTTACTTCCACCTCTTCCTGCCCAACAGCGTATTCTCAACATAGCAGACAGAGGAGTCTCAAAATTGCACTCAGATCATGCGTCTACTCAACACCCCAATTCCTTCCCATCTCACTCGAGTTAAAAACAGGTCCTACCAAGAATTACAAGGTCCAACCATGACCTGGTCCCCACCTACATCTCTGCACTCATCTCCTGAAATGTTCTCCTCCACTCACTCAGCTACTGCCAACTGGCTTCCTTGTTCATGCTCACATATAAGCTCTTCACCCAAATATCCATATGGCTTACCTCTCACTCCCAGTCACCTGCTTAAATGTTATCTCAGTGTTTCCTTGCAAAAATAGCACATGTCCCTCTCCCCTGGCCCACCTTTCTCCATAGCATATATTGCCATCTGAAATGTATGCTTATGTCGACATCACCTGCCTTGTCCTATAAGATTACAAAGCAGGAGTTTTGCCCGGTTTGTTTACGGCTATATCACCTGTGCCTCAAAGAGAGCCCAGCCCATGCATGTGATCATAAATGTATTAATGATCTAGATAATATTCTGCAACTTTGATAAAGTCTTCCTAGCTCCTCCATGCCAAAAATGGTCTGTCTGTCCCTTCTCCCAACTTCTCTAGTGCTTTAGTTCTACCTTTCTCATGGTATCTAACAATCAGCATATTGTGTACATAGTGTGTGCACAAGCATGCATGTTTGGCTTAGCTCCCTCACAGGTTCACACGTTGCCTGGGAGGAAAACATAGCACAAGGCATGCAGGATACATGCATTTAACATCTGTGATAAGAATAAGGAATGTTTTATCACATTTAATCAAGCAAAATAAACTTAAAATGTTTCTAATATTCTGTAAGAATGTATAACTCCTCCCCAAAGTTTTATAAAGAAAGCTTTATAGCACTTATTAAGGAATACTAAAGAATTACATATAGGAAATATATGAATTTACATATGAAATTATATATTGCTCTATGAATGTAATATTACTTAACTATGTATGACTATATAGAACTGATCTGTATAAATTTGAGGATATAAATTTACTTAACTCACAAACTGCAAAGAATTAGGCTATTTCAGCTAATACTATAACAGACTCACCAAAAAGAGGCAAGGAAAAATGTTTACGATCAAGACATGAAGGGAATCTGGATACTTAAGACACAAGGTTACGAAAATTTCAGAACAAAAATGGAAATGCAAATATGATAGTAATATTATGGTGGGGGGACAGCTGGCTGGTCTCAACTGGCCCAGACTTTTACACCGGAGCTGAGACCTCACCTCCTACAATGCAGAACCTGAACTCGTGCCTTTTCAAAAAACATACTCATCATGGGCAGGGCAGCCTCCGGAGAGCCCACGCACAGAACCTGGCACACAGGCAGTGCCCAACGTGAACAAAGTGAGCCAAACACTATCAGGAGCTGACAAGTCCCTGCACAGGGCAGGAATGTGAGCGCCTTCTGTTCCCTGGGGAGCATAAAGTTTCCTACATAAGCCTGAGCACTTTCCAGACAGGCTGAGCCAGGCACTGGAATGAGACAGGAGGTGGGGGCTCCGGGCCTGCCCGTGGCAATAATTTTCACCCCATCCTAACATCGTTTCACTTCTCTGAGCCTCAGTTCCCCATTCAAGAAAGGGATTGTTATGAGACTTGGGTAGGTTATGTGGACTGCATGTCAACAACCATCTCGTGCTGTACACCAACTCTTCTTATGAAGGCAAATGTAACTGTGTGGGATCTTCTGAAAACTAACTCCCAAAGCAGTTTCCAATTAGAGAGGTCATCCCAGGCCACACTGATAAAATCTAGAACTTTTGGAGTGCGGGAGTGTTCTAGCCAGATCATGAAGAATTCTTGCTTTCCTTATCAAAGTTGACAGCATAATAAACTTCTGAGGGCTTACTGTGAGCCAAGCAGCCTAACCGGGATTATCTCATCAGACAAAACCTCAGTCCGGTTCTGCCACTCACTAGCTGGACGACCTTGGGAAAGCTGCTTCCCTTTCTCCATGTTTCTAAAATGCATGTAATACCCACCTGTCTACCTTACAGAAATGAGATGAGCACCAGAGATAGTCTCAGGAAAATTGCTTGGGAAACTATAAAAGACTGCGCGCGCTAATGTTCACTAGCCAATCACAATTCTTACAACTCATTTATCTGCCACCCTTAAATCTGGAGAGGCTTCCATTTAGAACTGCTTTGGATTTTTTACAAAAATGAAAATACAGTTCTAATATGTGGCATTTTTAGCTGATTTGACTTTTCTTTAACAGCATTTGGGGTAAAGAGAGAAAGAAGGGGAAAGGTAAAGGAAAAAGGTATAGATTATAAAACAGTATTACTAAAATCTTACTCTCTTCTCCCATGATACTGATCAACTTCTACTCTCCTGGCACTTTTTGACTAGTTTTATGATGCGTATTATTTTAGAACTCAATTTCAGAAAACTTATAGATGAATATCTAAGGAGTAAGGGATCAAAAAGGACCAGTGTGTAGCATTAATTTCCTTACTATAAAAATCACTGATAGCCTCATGGGGCAAATAGAACTTCTATGATACTAAGTTAGGGGGCCCCAACCTTCAGAGGAAGATATAAATATACTTATTAATGCACCTCCAAATACAGGGTGGGCGAAAGTAGGTCTGCAGTTGTGAGTATGTGAGGCACAGAGTTTATTCTTGTACTATTATTACTTATTGTATTATTTCCCATATGAACAACTGTAAACCTACTTTTGCCCTACCCTGTATACCTCCATTAGATGTTGCAGGAATTCGATAAACTAAAGGGTAATCAATACTAAAACCAGGGTAAGAGGCTTTAGAGCTGCCACAAACTAGATTGATAAACAATATAAAGGAAACTTTTCATTTATAGGTTTATAGTCTAAGTCAGGGTTTCTCCACAGCAGTACTATTGACATTTGGGGGCCAGAAAATGATCTGTGGTTGGGGCTATCCTGCCTACTGAAGGACATTTAGCAGCATCCCTGCTGTAAAGGAACTAGATGCCAGTAGCAATGCCTGCCTCCCCCCCCTCACCCCCCGCCCCTCCAAAGGCTCACCCAGTATGACAGTCAAAAAGTCTGCAGATATTGTCAAATATTTCCTGGGAGCATAATCCCCAGAAAGTGATTCACATCAACATTATTTTCCCTTTCTTTTTGTTGTCTTGGCAATAAAAAGATAATTGGCAGCAGATGCAATGGCTTAATCATATTGCAAAATTATAACTGTATATCCTTACATATTTGTCCTTAGAGCGTCCACCAAGACCATAAAGGCATAAGTCCATGCAACACAAAAGCACACATGTGAGAAATGACTGCCACATACAAAGCGTCTTACTAAAAATACACAAGTGACAAGTGTTAAATGCCAAATAAAAAGCAAGCCAAAAATTAATAATTAAGATTTCAAAATCTAATACACATTTCTCTTTAACCTGGTTCTTACCAAAAAAAAACAAACATTCATTATTTTTCAACCATAGGATGTTGAACAATAATGATTTTCTAGGTAACATATATTATGTCTAGAGAAATATCACCCAGGAATATCAGTTGTTTTATCCTTATAAACACTTATGAACATCTTTATAAACATGAAATAAGTTCCAGATTAAAAGCCTATATTCAATCCAATTTTTTGTTTTCATTGCAGATCAATTTAAGAAAAATATCAGTAACTGACAGAATATGGGGGGGGGGAATACCATATAATAGATTTTTTATTGCAAATGGCCTAAAATGCACTTGAGTTTTGTGAGAACATATTTGTATTTGTGTTACTTTCCATTATTTGACAAGGCAAACATTACTAGTATTCATCAGTCTCAATTTACAGACAATCTTTCTTTATTTGTGTTGTTCCCTTGTCACTAAATTGCCTTTATAACAAACATTATACTAGGCAAACAACAGTCTTGAAATAATCTACAGGAGGCATTCGCTCCTGCTAGTGACAGCCCAGAAAAATCCTTTGCTTTCTGAGTCTTGGCATTTGGGTTTCTCTCTTTTCTTAACCCAGTTATATAACGTATCCTTTGAAATAGCTGTACATGTTTCCATCCCTCACATGACTTGTACTCAGGGTACTTGTATCCACTTTAAGAAAAACAACCTATTTACATTATAAAGTCTTATTTACCAATGAAAATTCTTCTGAAAATTATCACTCAAAATGCTTGAAGCTGCAAAAAGATTTTTCATCAAGTTACAACAGCTTTGCCTTGATGAATCAAGATGAACAGGTGCTTAAGCATCTTGTTGAAGTTGCCGTGTTCATCCTCACTGATGAGAAGGCTTTAACACCTGAGGAGCTGGGGCGGGAACAACGTGTCCTTGCATGGCATATTCAAAACAGGCTGGGAGCCTGATTTTTAAAATCATCAACTGAGAAGTACTTGCAATGATGTGCCTGTGGTTTAGTTACACCTTTGACACCCAGAATGGTTATATTGCTTTAAACAGCAATTTTAGCAACTTTTAAGACCTCTAGACTATCAAATTATCAAAACTAGAGAATCTTTGAGATGAGTTAAATCTTAGAGATGAATTAAGTAGGGAAAGATACTTAGCTACTCAGTCTTAGGCCTTAAATTTAAGATACCTGATTAAAGATTGATTAAAATATTTAAGTTTTCTTCTTGCTCAAAAATGTTAGCAGTTAGATTCACAACATCAAAGAAAGTTTGATGGAAAATATTTATTTATATGTAGCCACCTGGTTATTTTTTACTAAGAATAAATGATTCTATACAGATAGTATGTAGTAAAAAGTAAAAGTAGTATTTACTTTTAACTCTACTATTCTGGAAATGGAAAATATTTCCAAAAGTTATTTTTATAATATTTATGTCTATCAGGAGACTAAAATTAAAAAAACAGACAAAAATTAAGAATTAGTTATAAATACAGTCTTTGCAATAATACTGGAAACTACCAAGATTTTAATTTGTGCAAGTTTTGGAAGGCTAATTTGACTCTAACATAGAATGTTTCCAAATCCTACTAAGGGAACATTAATGGCATTCACCATCCAAACTAAGAAAGCCCCCATATGTAGGAGTATATAGACAATGCCAACCACATGTATTCCAACCTCAAAGTAAATGCTAATATCCTCTTTCCATCAAAGATTTTTCTAAAATGCAATTATGCAGTATCCCACATCTAGAAAGGAGAATTATAATAATCAAATACCAAAATAAATATGCCCAATCTCAGGTAAGTGCTTTTGTTACTTTTAATCAACTCCTTAAAAAAAAAACACCACCTGAATTTTGAACCATTAAAACAATTCTATTGTTGTGATATAGCAGTTCATGCACTGAGCACTCAGACACACTACCATTAGGTTGCTAAATTAAGAAAAATATCCCATTTTAATATCTCATGCATAGCACACAGCATCCACGTTTAGTAACATGCCAGGATAGAAGTGCAATGACACATTACACAAAGGACAAACAATGTGCAGAGATTTCTTTTTTGATGCAAACCACAACACTTACCCATTCTCACCATAAATCTTTTGAAAGAGTCTAAGAAATCAGAAAACCAAAAATTAAAAGTCATTTCTGCCAGTGTGTTATTTTTTAAATGTTCGACGTTTTTAACTTAAAGTGTCTAACAAGAGATGGACAAATCTCAAAAGGTTGCTTTTCCAGTCACATTCCTGATCATGTCTCAAATTCTCATTGATCTCATATCTCAAGGAATTCACATTAAGCAAGATCAAGAGTTTCCGGATTTAGCTTGAACTAACAAATCCAAAACAAAAAGCTTTATTAGTTGCCAGGAACTAATAAAAAAGTTAGATTTGCATCTACTAGGTTTATTCAACCTAATCACATTTGCCCATCCCAAAGTTCAACAAACTGAACATTCATCGAACATCAAGTTGCATAACACATAAATGTGTTCATTATTCTAAAAATGGCCATAATTACATACATGTAAAATTTAGCAGAGAGCAAATAATATTCATGCATTTTAATCAAGTTTGCACTACACTTTGAAACTCTAAATTTAGAAATTCACACACTTATAGTCCAAGAAACCTAGGTCAAAAACAAAAATCAAAAGCAAGTTAAATGAAATTTGCAATGCCATATTTTCAGGGAAATTTTTACACAAAAATCACACACTCCAAAATGAGAAACACATAAAACCAAACTACAACCGGACTGTTTCAGAAACGCCTGGACACGAGAATAAAAGTCTGTAAATGTAATCAGAAAACATTTTCATGAAACACCATGTCGCAGAACAGTACCACAGTCTCTCCTTAAGGCCAAAGGCAATGACTGTGTACAGACTTTCTTAAACAGGCCTCGAATAGGCGATTCAGTGATGTGCAAATATGGAATTGCACTTTTTCCATGAAATGTGCAAAGGTTTCTCAAAGCAAAATAAATGTTTAGAGGATGCTTCAAAATGGCTCATGACATGCAGTCAGGCAATATGATGCCACTTTCCCACACAAGAAAAGTAACACAAGACCATCCATTCAGTACAAGCGAAGTCCTTGCAGAAACACACTCTGACCTCTCAACCATCAGCCGTTTCCTGTGCCTAAGCCTGCTGGCCTCCCGGATGGCCTCCCACTTCCGTAAGTCCGCCTCACTGCAGGGACCAGGGATGAAACTGATGGGAGGCACAGAAGTTCCCAGCTTCCAATACTGGATCTTACGGGTCAACATGTCATCTGTCTTCTGCCGATACGAAGGAACTAGTACTCTACAGCTATTACTTTTCTCTTTGGATGGGCACGTCCTTTCAAGTACACAGAGAAACTTTGCTTGAATTTCTGGAGGAAGAGTCCAGGGCTCGGGGAAAGGGATTGGTTGGTATCTATCTGGGGCCCCCGAGAGAGGCACCTCTTTCTTCTGCGCTGGAATTCGTCGGACAATCATATCATCTTTCTCTAGATCTGGAAGTACGAGTTCACCTTCTCTGCACTGCAGAATTATATCTCGCTCTACAGGATCATCTCGCCCAGAAAACCTTCTGAAGTCTTCGAAAGCTCGGAGAACACATGGATTGGCATGGAAAGCCCCAGTCTTTCTGACAAAGAAATCGTCATTCTCTAAGTCAGGATCGAGGGCTGACATCTCAAGGTCACCTCTTCTATACCCTGGTGCATAAGAGAGATGCCGCCTGCGAGTTATGAGCCTTGGGCCAGCAGTGGGATCAAGTTTGATATTTGTTTCAGAAGATAAGATGTCATCAGAATATGTTTGGAGGGCCTGAAGTAATAAAAACGGACTGAAGCACAGAAAAGAAAAAGGAAGGGAGAATCTTATTAAGTGCATTAAGGAGAACGGGTAATTAGGTAGCAGACCAACTAGCCACTATTGTTTAATTATAGGGGGCATGGGAAGGACTCTTGTGTGGAAGACTGGCATTGAATGCCACCACCTGTGTCTTTCCTGGATACCACTTAAAGAAACAAGAGCAGAGGATACAGCTCAGGAAAGGTGGGCACCAAGCAGGCCAAGTGATAGGGCTCGAACTGGGGAGAGTACAGCTCCCTGAGATACAATGCAACTCTTGCTGTCACCTCTTCCTCATTCCATGAGCCACAATGACCTCATTCTCATCCCAGAGATGCAGGAATAATCTTGAAAGGTTTCAGAGTTAGTCATGAAGCACTGTATGCAATAGGCACCGGTACGAAGCAGACATTTAAAAACTACAATGCTCTGAAGCTGTACAAAAGACCCTGATGACTCTTCTTTCTGCATTTTCCCACCAGACTTGCCTGTCCTCCTGTCCATCTGAAAGTTATTTCCTTTATATCTCCACGCACAGCACAACTGTAAAACTAGGTTCACTTTTCTTTTTCTTTTTTTTTAACATATTTTTATTGATTTCAGAGAGGAAAGGAGAGGGAGAGAGAGATAGAAACATCAATGATGAGAGAAAATCATTGATTGGCTGCCTTCTGCACACCCCCTACTGGGGATCGGGCCCGCAACCCAGGCATGTGCCCTTGGCCGGAATCGAATCTGGTACCCTTCAGTCTGCAGGCAGATGCTCTATCCACTGAGCCAAACCAGCTAGGGCGGTCCACTTTTCCAAAGGCCTTTTAGAAATGGTTTTCCAAAAGAACGGGCTATGCCACATGTAACTCCATACTATTTTATACATGACTATGCTAAAGAATACTTAATCCTATAGACTTCCAAGCTTACATGTCTGCACAGAAAGCAATATGCTATACATTATGCTTTTATACTAAATATTAAGTGAGTATAGTTCCATGATTCAACGCATCATGGTCAGAGGTTAATGGCGCAGAAGAAGCCGGCTGGGTGTTGCATGCCAGACTCCAAGCAGGAAGGCTCATGCAGGCAGGTACACCTGGGCTCGTCCGAAGCACCACTGGTTCTCCTGGCTGCATGGGTGTCCCATGTGCTCCTGGCTACTTCCATCAGGAGTGAACGTCTTTGGCAGGTGCCGTCTAGCCTACGCTCTGCTTTCTGCATCCTACTAAGAATGGCAGAGCTTCTGTCAGAGCCTGAATCCTCATCCTCAAAGTCTGGGCTCCATCTACTGTGGAATGAGGCAGAGAAAGGAAGGAGAGAGGGAAGAAGACAAAGAATTGGAGAAAAATATAACTAAATAGTGTCAAGCTATGACTATGTATAGAGGAGGACGTGTTAGGATCCAGATCCCAAAGTTTAAATTTAAATGACTTTTTTTTTTCCAGTTACAGAGGTTCTATAGATGTTGGAAGGAAATCAATCTGTCTCTTTCATAAAAAGCACACACAGAACGCACCCAGCCAGGGCACTGAATGAACACTAGACTGACAGAAACAGGCATAAAGACAAACCTGAATCCCTGAAATTCTTTATACCATGGCTTATAAGTTTCCCTTTTGATTCTTTTCCAGTTCACATCTTCTGGGATCCAACATTTGGGAAGAAACTGATCAAAAGTGTTCCCTGGGTTTGGCATGATGGGGCTTAGCTTTCGCACATAAAGGTCATCCTTTACAGTGTCGGGGATGCTTGTCCTTTCCTCTTCCTCCTCCAAGTAACAGAAGGAGTCTGAAGTTTCTTGTACTGCTGTCCAGTTCTCCACATGTGTGCCCCAAGTTCTCCTCTCGTTACTGTTCAAAACATCCAACCAATTAAGATACTGCATGATCAACGTGTGACAGAGAACACAAAAGGCATGCTTCCTGGCTCACAAAGTCTATACCACTGCGAATGAAGCAAATTAGTTTCCCTTCTCATCATTAACGCTCCTAGAACAAAGTTATGGCAGCATCACAGCACCTCATTTTAATTAGACAATAGCTTTGTACACGAGGGCCGAAGATAACAATCGGTGCTAAAAGGAGACAAATTGCCAACAGTTTCGGGGGTTACTTTATGTAGCACAATCAACAGGATGGACATCTGGCCCCGGGAGAAATTTTTCTGACCTCGTCAGTTTGCATAGCCCGGTGGCTACCGGGTCAGCAGGAGAAAACAAGTGTGAACAAGTGTTAGGAGAGAGAGTTTTTGAGATGAAACTCTCTGGGCTCTTTCTCACCTGGAATCTAAGGTTGGCTAAGTCATCCAAAACTACAGGAAGGCAACCTTTGCTCATCCTCGGCATCCGATCCACTTTCAGGACCGAATGCCTCCTTCTGATAGGAAGCTGGATTTGAAAAGTCACACACTGCTCTGCTAACCTGATGAGAAATCAACAAAGGGGAGCTGCACAGCCGAGCTCCCAAGGAATAATATAAGTCACCCAGTAAGTTGCAAGATACCAATAATGCTAAAGGCAGGCATCTAAAAAAAGAACCAGCAAATCATATGCTGACATTTTTAAATGGAAGAAACAGCTTCAAGATATGAATGACTAAAAATATAGGGGGGAAAAACATTTTCATTAATGAAGTTTAAAATATTATCTATGAAATACAGGTTAAGGACCATTCCTTTTACCACATTTAAATATCCCGGCACATTTGCAAACACAGGAAATTGTAAAGCTCAATCATCAGATCGCATCCCAGTACCTTGGAAAGGTCCCATCAGCTTCTGTGCCGACGGGGCTTGCCCAGCTTCTTCTGTTATCCTCATGTCTGTCCGGCTTCTTCTTCCTCAAGGGCGCCGGCACGTAGGACGGCTGTCTACTTTTGTTGGGTAAGAAACGATTGAATGGTAAAGCAGACTTTGGTTCAATGGCCGAAATCCTTCGATAGGACATATCATCTTTATTATATTCCTGCATTTTGAAGGTAAATTCAGAATCTGTGTCGCTTTCGCAACCTGTAAAAATAAAAAGGCACAAGAACTGGCTTTATTCTCCAGATTACTCGTCTCGCTGAAACCCACACGGCATGCCTGCTTCGTCTTTCCCTGCTGCTAACTGCGGGAAATATTTTTAGAAATTTGTCATGAAGTTGCGATAAGATCCATTAGGAGGAACTGGCTTTGCATACTGGAGGCGCCTGCGGTACATTCTTTCACTGTTGCACATTCTACGCAGAAAAAGTCCCAAATTACAGCTGAAACCCTTTTCTTCTTGACTCTCCCTGCCCATATAATTTTTTCATCAAATTTGTTGATGGAATACATGTCAATAAAACCTAACAATACATGTCCATAAAACACACTTAAAATGAGATATAAAAGTAATTCTTGAGAGACAGTAGTTTAAAATAAAGCATGCAACCATCCAAAATTTGTGTGAGGTAAGACATAAGGGAGGACACAGAAAAAGTAGAAAGCACAAAAGATCTTAAAGGGGGTCGGTAGTAAAATTTGTGTGAGGTAAGAGATAAGGGAGGACACAGAAAAAGAAGTAGAAAGCACAAAAGATCTTAAAGGGGGTCGGTAGACCATTCTGAGACCCCTATCAGCAAGAATCACACATTAGGTCTGAGACAGGACCAAATGTCTTCTAACGTCCCATAGGAATGTTAAGTCTCATACCTTAATGAGAACACAGAAGTCAGGCTTTTTCTAAGGGTGGCCGTGGGAATTACATTTTTGATACAAAGTAATTTAAACACAAATTCAAAGGACTACACCTCAAAGTCAGATCCACACAAATACAATCCGCTCCCTTAAAACTAACTAAATAGATGTGCTCTTTTAAAGACGGGAGGAGAAGAAGTACAGAACACTACTACAGATCCGGGCCAAGTTGTCGCCCGCTCCTGCCCCTTTTTCCTTCCTGCCTCTGTGTATTTCTACGAGTAAAGAAAGTTTGCTAATGTGGCTTGCTTCCCACCCAGGCCGACTACCTGAGCACTGCACTCTCTCAGCACACAGAGCAGAGCGCCTGCAGGGTTAACCTGAGCTACAGGCCATCTTCTCTCCTCCCTCCTGCCTGGCAGGAATCTACAGTAAATAACAGGGAGACTGGCCTACAGGAAGTGGTTTAACACACAGCTATGTAAGCAGGAGACCTGAACAGGGTGAAGGAGAGGAACAGCAAAATGGGAGACATTTAACCAGCTCTCACCAGGAGGATTTACGGTCAATCATCTGGTGCTCCGTTTGCTTTTACCACCTCCTACATAAATAGTACATTTTTTGGAAATGAGAGAAATGTCTTAATTCTTGCCAAAATTTGTACACGTGAAATCTTAAATGCACAAAAAAACTGTGCTACTCGGGAATATTTTCCCCATCTTTATTGAGATATAATTGACATATAATAGTGTAAATGTTTTTGTTTTAATATATTTTTATTTATTTCAGAGAGGAGAGAGGAAGAGAGAGAGACAGACAGAGAGAGAGAGAGAAGCATCACTGATGAAAGAGAATCATCGATTGGCTGCCTCCTTCACGCCCCCCACTGGGGATCGAGCCCACAACCTGGGCATGTGCCCTGACTGGGGAATGAACCATGACCTCCTGGTTCATAGGTCAATGCTCAACCACTGAGCCATGCTGGCCGGTCAATAGTGTATGTGTTTAAGGTATACAGTATGATTTGATTTAAATATATTATAAAACAATTACTACAATAAGTTTAGTTAATGATGGATAAGTTTAGTTATCCATCATTCATATACAGATACAAAAAAAGACCAAAAAAAATTCTTGTGATGAGAACTCTTAGGATCTATTTTCTTTTTTTAAATATATTTTTATTGATTTCAGAGAGAAAGGGAGAGGGAGGGAGAGATAGAAACATCAATGATGAGAGAGAATCACTGATCAGCTGCCTCATGCACACCCCCTACTGGGGATAGAGCCTGCAACCCAGGCATGTGCCCTTGACCGGAATCGAAACCTGGAACCCTTCAGTCCACAGGCCGGCGCTCTATCCACTGAGCCTAACCGGCTAGGGCAGGATCTACTTTCTTAACAACTTTCAGGTATATAACAGTGTTAATTAACTATAGTCATCATGTTGTTCATTTTATGGATTTTTAAAGTTATTTTTTTTATTTTGGGTTCTAGTACAATGCTCTATAGAGTAAGCAAATATTCTTGATATAGGGAGTTTCATATAAACCTAAGGAATTTGACCTTGCAATTCTGTTAACCTAAAAACATTATCCTAAGTTGTGGTGATCATCAATTTTGGACTATAACCTGGTGGGTAGCAGAATTTTAATATACTAATCACACACAAAAAAAACATTTATCATCCTGGTGGCCCCCAGGCTTTTTTATGACTCCCTAGTTATAATTACCAAGTCTTCACTTCCACACTCTTTAACAAGGTAACTCCTTTTCCGAGATCAGGAAGCTGTGTGACAGTGGCCTCTGCTCTTGGTCACATGGACAAGCACCAGTCCAATGAGAATCGGAGAAGACTTGGAGTCCACACCACAGGACCACTGCATCTGAACTGTCTCAAGTCTGCATATTCCCACCATGCCTCAATCTTCCTCTCTTTCATTGTTTGCTGGCCAGATATAAATTTAAACTTTCAATGTTTTCACTTCTCTGGTCAGGACAGAGTAATATGAGTTCAGAATTTCAGCCTGTTTTTAAAAATCATTTATCAACCTGGTGGCCCCCAGGCTTTTTTATGACCCCTAGTTATAATTACCAAGTCTTCACTTCCACACTCTTCAACAAGGTCTGTAACTCCTTTACCGAGATCAGGAAGCTGTGTGACAGTGGCCTCTGCTCTTGGTCACATGGACAGGCACCAGTCCAATGAGAATCGGAGAAGACTTGGAGTCCACACCACAGGACCACTGCATCTGAACTGTCTCAAGTCTGCATATTCCCACCGTGCCTCAATCTTCCTCTCTTTCACTGTGCTGGCCAGATAAATTTAAACTTTCAATGTTTTCACTTCTCTGGTCAGGACAGAGTAATATGAGTTCAGAATTTCAGCCTGTTTTTACAGCTTTAATTACTTAGATAAATTATAAATCAGATTCATTTCTTTAAAACTATTATAATACTCATCTAGACTATAAAAGTGTCACACTAAATAGCGAACAGCCAACAACTGCAGCAGTAATTATTAAGGTTAACTCTTCCCTAGCCATTCACATTTTTTACTGTTAGTTTTTAAATGCCATTTTTTGTGACCATGCTTAACACTTTGCTGATTTTTATTTTTGAAAGACAAATTCATCGTACTTTGCATTTATGTAAATTTACCTAAGAACAACAAATAAAGATTGAACTCTAGTTAATGACCTGCATGCTAAAGTATTTAGGACAAGCGCAATATGCTCTGAAATGCCTCCAAAAAATAAGATGGATAAATTAATGCAGGGAGAGGCGGGATAGGTATGTGATGAAGCAGATATAATACAATGTTATCGTAGAATTATGTGGTGGGTACATGGGTGTTCACTGGAAAATTCTTCCAAACTTTGACGATGCTTGAAATTTTTTATAATAAAAATGTTAGAAAAGTCACTTAACATTAAAATAATAATCAAAATGAACAAGTAAAATTCCTAACAATCTAGTACAAACTCACAACCCGAACTCTCAATTTTTTTTCACATTAATGGTAGAAGCACAGAAATACTTGAAGCAACTTTACTCATGGTTCCAATCTAGTCCAATTTGAATTGCTAGAGGTATACATTTAGAAATTTCTCAGACCACCCAACATTCACAGGAGTAAGACTTAGCATTTAATTAACTGATCTGACCAGGACACTGACATTTTGAAAGAAGTCTCCTTCCCAAAACAGGATGACTTTCATTAACATGCTCCTTTCACACTTACTCTGTCCTGTATTAGCTCTGACCCTTACAGAATCAAAAGATGTTTTTTAACACCATGCTTATATTGTTATTTAATCAAAGTTTAGCATAATGTTATGTCATGATAGATATCAATCATTTCTTCTCTTAGAGATCATTGAAAAGATGTCTGTCTAGTTCTTTTTCTTGAGAATTTTTTAAAATCTTTTTTGGGGGGTAGTAAGAGAAGGGAAATAAGAAATTAACTCAGGAATTAGAACAAACTTTTTAGGACCTTTTTTATGTTTAGATATACCAGTCAATAGGCCTCATAGGCACAGATTATTAACCCTGAATCTGGAGAGAAAATAATCAAAATACATTATCACTGATAAAACAGATCACAGTTAACTGTTCCTCTTGTCTCCTCTGAAAATGGGAAGAAGGAAAAATTGAAACCACTATCCCTCTAGTGGTGATACAGTGAGGGAGGAAAAAAAAATTTTTTTTCAATTAAACTTCAGTCCAGCCGGTGTAGCTCAGTGGTTGAACATCAGTCCATTAACCAGGAGGTCATGGTTCAATTCCCAGTCAGGGCACATGCCCGGGTTGCAGGCTCGATCCCAGTGTGGGGCATGCAGAAGGCAGCCGATCAATGATTCTCATCATTGATGTTTCTCTCTCTCTCTCTGCCTCTCCCTTCCTCTCTAAAAAAATCAATAAAAACATATTTTTAAAAATTAAAAATTACAATTTAGTCTCTATTTTCTTGGTGAAATTTTTGCCCTCAATAGTTTTCACCACATTTTTCTACTTTCTCCCATTCCCAATTTTTTCTTAACATGCAAACAAATTCAAATAAACTGCCAGTCAAAAATACAACTCACTTTACCTAGCAGGTTTGGCTCAGTGGATAGAGCATAGGCCTGCGGACCAAAGGGTCCCCGGATTTGATTCCGGACCAGGGTGTGTACCTTGGTTACAGGCTCCTCCTCAACCTGGGCCCTGGCCATAGCTCATGCAGGAGGCAACTAATCTATGTGTTTCTCTCACATGGATCTTTCTCTGTCTTTCCCTCTCTCTTCCACTCTCCCTAAAAATCAATGGAAAAATATCCTCGGGTGAGGATTAACCAAAAAAAATGCAACTCACCTTCACGCCCACCCCTCAGCGTGATATCAGAGGAGCAGCTTGTGAAGGACCTAGAGCCCAAAGAGTCCAAGCTTTCAAATGAATCTTCTCTCCTATGGCTGCCTGCGGGCACAGGGAACTCTCCCCGGTCAGCACACCAGATGTCTCCGTACCCACTGTCCCTGCCACTTCGTTTCAGGCAGCTGGAGTCTTCAAGTGCCTAAAAAAATTTTTTAGAGAATAAGTTAGCATAAAATCCCAAACTGTAGTCAGTCATTACTTGTTTGTTTGCATAGCTCAAGTTGTGCTTCATTTGATAGGTGAGGCAACAAGGTCTCCTGTTAATCATAAAAATCTGATTTTAAAAAATCAGAATATAAATCTGCGTTCCCACAACTAATAGTTGGTCCTCATGTAACAACAAAGAGGTATACATTATCATTTAATAAAGTAGTACAATCTATATAAAATTAAGGAAGGGGAGAGATTTTAATATGAAAAGCTACTAACTAAATTAATATACTAAAATCAGTTATCTAGAGTTATTTGGCAATAAATATGGAGTTAAATAGAAAAATCAAACTGGACTTTGATATCCAAAAGAAGACAAATTAATCATAACCATCCTACATTCTGCAAATAGTTGAGGAGATATATGTTAAATAAAAAAAGTAGTTAAATTTTTTAACAAAAAGTTTAAAACAGAGAGGAGCAAGTACAGCAGGTATACACGTCACAGAATTTATCTATTTTCATCGATTAAGAAACCTAGATCTGAACCAAGAAAAGCAGACTTGTTGGCTGACATACAAAATATTTTCCCTGAATCTAAATTAAATATTTGTTTGGCTCATGTAAGAGGTGCACAAAAACATGGCAAATGTCAATAACTATAGGTTTATAAATCACATAGCATTTACACAAAATCCGTATTTCTAATTAGCATCTCTCTATGTAAGTACATAGCAAAATACAACTGGATTTTTTAAAATTAGGATTTAAGTAATGTATAAAGCCCTTAGCAGAGTCATGATACAGAGTAATAATTAATTAATGAATTAATACAGAATAATAAACTCTTAATGTTTTAATATGGTGAATGTAACTGTCATTATAGTAAAAGTCAGGAATGTTAGCTTCAGGTGACTTCACTAAAACAGAGATGGTTTAAAGAACCTAGGGATTCCCAACAACCAAACGTAAGATGTGGGCCTTAATTAAATCATGATCCACACAAAAAAGCTATGAAACAGAGTTGGGAGATAATTGGGAAGATTTGAATATGGACTGAATATTAGATAATGGGGTATATTTATGAATTTTCTTAAGTATAATAGATATTGTGGCTATATGGAAGAATTTCCATATACCAAAAATAAAAACTCTTATTCTTAAGACACACATACTAAGTATTTAGGGGTGAGATCTCTGCAATTTACTTTAAAATGATTAAGTAAATAAAACATAGATGGATGAACAGATACATAAATAGATAAAGTCAATATGGGAAATTTTTAATAATTGAATCTGATGACATATTTGTTGTACTCTAACTATGAGAATATTATAAACATTCTCAACATATGAAAAAATCGACAAAAGAACATTTACAATGAATAATCAGCAGCTCCGTCAGGCATACTTTTGGCTAAGGCTGGATTTGTCAATCTGTAGTTGAATTTTTGGACAAGTGTTTGAAGAACCAATAAAGTCCAGTAGAACTAGATTTTTGCATGCTTTGGATGCCAGACAAACTGGTGTTAGAATTAACATCCTGTCATGAAAATGTAAGCACCTACCTTGTACCTTATTTCTAAGCAGATGGGGAAGCTGGGCCTAATGCTGGTATCACCTAGATATGTCTCATAATATAAAATGATTAAAAATTTTAAGTAAATCTTTTTTTAATTGATTTCACAGTGGAAGGGAGGGAAAGAGAGACAGAAACATCAATGGTGAAAGAGAATCGTTAATCAGCTTCCTCCTGCACACCCCACACTGGGGATTGAGCCTGCAACCCAGACATGTGTCCTTGACCGGAATCAAACCCGGGAACCTTCAGTCTGAAGGCCAACCCTCGATCCACTGAGCCAAACCAGGTAGAGCGTAAGTAAATCTTTTGATCCATCAGGCTTCTATAGACATACTGTTGTAGACATAGGGTCCTCTCACTACACAGTGAGATGACTTTTGACCTCATAAATGTTAAAGTATTTATAACAGGCCACCACAGTTATAAAAGAACCTGAGTCTGACCCTGGTGCCTGGTTATGTAGGACTTCACTCTGACAAGTCACCTGAGTCACCTCCAACTTATAGGGTGACTCAGGTGCAACAGCTTATCCCAAGTGTTTTTTTAACTGATATCTTGGATTGGCCATTAAGCATTATCTACTTAAGTTGGAAAGTTTGATGAACACAATGGTTTTGATTTTTAACAAAACAGGTGCCAAACAGGTTACAGATCCACACACCTCTTGTGGCTATTCCCACTCTATAATAATGGAATAAAACCACAACTATAGTTTTTAAGTATTGAAAAAAAAATTTTAACTAATGAAAAATGTTTACCTACTTCTGGTGACAGGAAACAGCCTGTAATAGAGCATTCCCAGCACATACACTGCACCAGCCTTATTCAGCCTGAGTCAGACTGCCATAAAAAGGACCAAGGGCTGTTGAGAACACTAACACAGGGGCCAAAGTACCATATTGTTTTTAACTGGATGTTTTCTTAGCTGAAATAACTGAGGCAAAGCTATAATCATGCCCAAAGTCCCCTGCACGTTCCTCCATCAGTCTTACCCGCCTCTACCCTCCTCCACTGCAGTGACTTATCTGCTCATCTGTCTCCAACAGACAATTGTGCTGCACGAGGATGGATTCTTTGTCTTGTGCGTTTTCCCAACACCTGCTACAAGGCTTTGCATGATAATATCTCAAATATTACCTGAATTAACTGTTTCAAGGAATTTGAATAGAGTGCTATAAACTCTTTACAATTCAAAAATAACAAAAATAAGCCCTGGCTGGTGTGCTCAATGGTTAGAGCATTGGCCCATGCACCAAAGGGTCTCGGATTCAATTCCCGGTCAAGGGGATGTACCTGGGTTGCAGGTTCAATCCCCAGCCCTGGTCAGCTCATGTAGGAGGCAACAATGTACCACTCTCACATTGATGCTTTTCTTCCCCCCCCCCCCCCCCCCCCCCCCCCCCCCAATCACCATACTGTTGTCTGTCTATGAATTTTGTGGTTTTTGCTCAATCCCTTCACTTTTTCACCCAGTCCCCCAATCCCACTCCTCTCTGACAGGTGTCAGTCTGTTTTCCATATCTATGAGTATGTTTCTGTGTTATTTGTTCATTACATTCCACATATAAGTGAAATTATATGGTACTTGTCTTTCTCTGAATAGCTTATTTCACTTAGCATAAGGTTGATCCATGCTATCACAAAAGGTAAGACTTCCTTCTTTTTATGGCCAAGTAGTATTCCATTGTGTACCACAGCTTTTTTATTTACTCCACTACTGATGGGCACTTGGGTTGCTTCCAAATCTTCGCTATTATAAACAATGCTGCAATGAACATAGTGGTGCATATATTCTTGTGAATTAGTGGTTTGGGTTTCTTCAGATATATTCACCAAAGTGGAATCACTGGGCCATAAGGCAGTTCCATTTTTAATTTTTGGAGGAACCCCCATAATGTTTTCCACATTGGCTATACCAGTTGGTATTCCCACCAACAGTGCACGAGGGTTCCATTTTTTTCACATCCTCACCAACACTTGTTTGTTGCTTTGCTGATGACAGCCACAATGACAGGCTGGAAGTAATATCTCATTATGGTTTTAATTTGCATTTCTCTGATGATTAGTGACATTGAGTCCTCCATGAATAAAAGATACTAAAAATTTTTTAAAATTGCGTAGCTTCCATACATTTTAATAACCCTGAAGAACCTTTCTATTACAGGTTGAATTCATAATGAACATATAAAGATTTAAGTATACAAAGTATCTAAGAAAGGAAACGAATGCCTATTGTGGAGTTAGCTAGAATTAAGAGATAAATGCCTATACCCTGGACACTGTTCTGAAATAGACTCACTCACTCCCTGGTGGTGGCATACAAAGCCAGCCCATGAGTAACAATCCTCTCTACCCATCCCAATCTAGACCAGAGCAAAGATAGTCAGACCTTCCACATTTGCTATAGAGAAGGAGAAGAATGAAATGGAAGGAAAACCGAAAGGGGGAGGGAGAGAAGAAGAGAAAATAGTATTAGTTATAGTGATCATCTCATACAGATATAGTTTCCTTACCTTGGTCAGAGCTTGTCCCAAAAGATTCTCAAATGCTTTCAAATTAAGATATGGACCATTATAGTAGGGGTTACTTTGTGCTTTTCTTCCCAGCCAGTACAATGTTATCAAAACCTTTCAAAAGAGTCCATAAAACAAAAAGATCAGTCTATTTATAGCAACTAACTGCAATCTCAAATGCATGTGAGCACTCCGGATAAAAGAGCATATCTATCTATAGCTGAAAGATTTTTCTTTTAAATTATGGGAAGGAAAAGAGTCATTAAAAATGTGACTCATTCTTCCTAGATTTCACAGTTAGATTCCTGGTCAGGGCACATGCCTAGGTTTCGGACTCAGTCCCCAGGTGGGGGCATTCAGGCATTCTCTGAGCACATTCTCAGACCAAAAGCCCAGATCCCAACTTCATATATATAGTAGAATTCATTCATGCATTCTACTAGTACATATGAAGGGGGGGGGGGGATTAAACTTTTAAAGCAATAAATATTTTTCTAACAACAAACTTAGTAAATGGACACTTAAAATCAATAAGTCTCAGCTTTCCTAAAGGTACTGAGCTCTTATGTTTTTAATAAGCTGTCACATCAGAAATTCTTCTAATACATTAGAATATTATAGATATTATATAAGTCCACATTGAATAATCATCTAGAGTTCTTAAACATTCAGTGTTGTTCCTTAAAGTCTGATTTGATGGTTTCTGACTTACTCCCCTAAAAATCCTAACATGTGTTTACCACATTACTAACATATGAAAAACCACTTTCTAAGCTTAAACTATCCTCTTATTACCATGAAGACAGACAATATGTTTTAACCATATTTTAACATATTTAGAGTTTGTGACTGGTTGGTTTCTAGCAAAAATTTCATAGAAAAAAATATAACAGAGAATATCAGATATTTTTAGATCCCACTGCTTATTACATAAAAAGTTTAAAAAATCTACAATATTCCATTAAACATATCTTACATTTTTCACTCTCCTATCGGTCTCTTCTTGCCTGCAAAGAAAAAAGAGAAAATATCTATTAATATCTAAGAACTTTAAATTATTAATTATTAACTGAAGCTCATTCCTATGAATATTAATACCACCTGGAAGTTCAAAAACTTCAGAAAAAAATTTCCTGCATTCATTGATTTCATGAAATATAAGCGTCAGTTTCTATTAAAAAGGTTGTATTTTCTCATTTTATTCATTACAATCTGGTTTCTAAAATGCAGTATTTGCATTTTTTGTATTTATTTTAAACAATGCTTAAACCGAGAGTCCTCCAGCTATGCAGTCAGTGCCATGGTTCTCCACCAGGTCTGAGATCTGAGCCCCATCCAACCCGGTCACAGCAGGTGAGTTACCGACCTCAGCTAAGGCAGCTGAACTCACAGTGCCAAGAAACTTAACGTGGACGGAGAGATTTCCCTTTTTTTTTTTTTTTTTTTACAGACAAGCATATTAAAGGGGTTGATTTTGCCTCTAAGTGTAGTTTTGGCTGAATTTCTAACATTTGGATTCGTGGTTTGGTTTATTTTTAAATGTCTAACCAAGCTCATTCCCTGACCAACCCCCACTTACAAATGAAAACATCTTAACCATGTTTTTATTTCTGGAAATTTTAAATATTCAGTTTGTGTCTCTTGATTGGTCTGAAACTCTTCCCCAAAAAAGGCGGCAGTCGGCTTTCATGCTCCTGAGTAACTACTTCCCAGTGAGACTGGAATGAAAGATGTGGGTGCTTCTGAGATGCTTGTCCTAGGGCAGTGATGGCGAACCTTTTGAGCTCAGCGTGTCAGCATTTTGAAAAACCATAACTTAACTCTGGTGCCGTGTCACACATAGAAATTTTTTGATATTTGCAACCATAGTAAAAAAGAGATCTATATTTTTGATATTTATTTTATATATTTGGATGCCATTTAACGAAGAAAAATCAACCAAAACGATGAGTTCACCTGTCACCTCTGACACGTGTGTCCTAGGTTCGCCATCACTGTCCTAGGGCCTGCAGGGGAGAGCTACGGCTCTGTGGTCACTGAGCCCAGGTTACTGAATGAAGGTCCTGGGTTCCATTTCAGTCAAGGTCATGTACTGGTTGGGGGCATGATCCCTGGCCCTGGTCCGGGTACTTGGGGAAGGCAACCAATTAATGTGTCTCTTTCAATAGAAGTTTCTCCCTGTCTCTTCTCCTACTTGCCAATCTCTCTAAATATCAATGGAAAATATATCCTCGAGTGAGGATTAGCACCAACAAAAAAAAAAGTTAAAATAAAATAAAAATAAAAAGGCATGAAAAAAAATTGTCTAAGAGCCAGGGCAGGATGTCCCTGGGAAAATCTCCACTGTCAGCACCACCATCCAGGACAGGTGCCCGAGGTGGGTACTAACCATCACACCTGCTCATAGAAGAGGAACAGGCCTGGGGGACACTGACCCAAGGTCACACAAGGAATGAGTCCTGAGCTGGGATTTGAAACGAAGTAGGGTGCCCTGGGCATGCCTGCTCGGCCCTGGTTCAAAACTGCCTCTCCCTTCCAGGAAACGCCAGCAGAAGCCCAGCTCAGGACTCACTGGGCACATCTGGGCCTACAGTGCATTTGGCTCATGGGCCCACATGTGTGTGGTTGCGGTGAATTTGTACTGCAGACAAATTCCATGATTCCTCGTGGAGGCAGCCTGGGCTTGTGCTGTCTGTCCCTTTCCAGGACACCACTGGCTCCAGACGTCAGCACTCACCAGGGGCCTCCACTCATCACTCCAGAGTCTGTTCAGTGGCGTTGTCTTCTCTACATGACTCAGAGTTCCCCAGAGTCAGAACCTGGCACACACACTGGGTGCTCAGGGGTGTCTGTGGGGTGAGTGACTGACAGGAGAAGAATGGAAGCCTAGAGGAAGGCAGTGTAGGCCAAGAGCTCCACATGGAGCAGTGGGCTGGCCCCAGTTGGCCTTCCTCACACTGACAATGGCCACCCATTCCTTCCACAGAGATCTAAGGAGCCATGATTGCTCCCTGGCTTCAAAGAGCCTCTGGTCCAGCAGACAACAGGCTGTCAGACAAATACAGAACAGAGTGATATTGGGGGACAGGCTTACTGAAGAAGGGACCTGAGGGCCGATGGTCATAAGGGAAATCATTGGGGGTGTGGTGAAGTGAAGGGGTGCCATGAGGGCAGAAATGGGGCCATGGAAACACTATGTAGTGAGGGAAGGCACTTGCTACCTGGGAAGGGTTCTCTGTGGAAGAACCCTGACCCGAAGATAAACGTCACCTCGTTGCAGCTGCCATGATGTGACAGGGTTACGTGTGATTGGCCCATGTTTATTTCTCTCCCGGCTCCAAGATCCCAAAAGAGCCCATGCATCTGCCTTCAGTGCCTCTCGGGCTTGAAAATGTCTAACTCCCAGGCCTGACCTCTTTCCCTCTAATCACATTCTTAGATTTAATCTTCTCCACCCAGTTGCTGAGCTAATCTCATCTTTCCCAGAGGAGACCCACCCTTTTCCTCCTGGGAGGGACAGAAGATGGAATCTCTCCCTTTGCCCTCCAGGATGGCACTGTCTGCCCTCCAGCTTGCCTCCTTTTAAATTCTAAATTCACCCAGAGAAGAGTCTTTCCATCTCTCGGGTTCCATTAGGATGGCTCAGCCCCACACTGCCCAGCCCTGACCCCTGCTTCTCATGGTGATTCTGTCCTGACCTCCCTCAGAGAAGCCTTGTGGTCTGAAGGGCCCCCCACATCCTCAAACAACCACCGCTTGTTCCCTGAAGGAGCTCATGATCTGCTGTGTCACCTGACATAAAACCTAAGTGACAACTAGATGCATGGACACATTTCTTTTTTTCTTGGGGATGCCACCATTGTCTTCTCACCTTTTTTAACTGTGGATAATTTGGATTACTCTAATGTGGCCAAAGATCCCAGCAACCACACTCTCAGGTTGTGTTTTTTTTTTTCCTTTCTAACGTCAGGAACGCATTTCACCTTTCACTCTCTCACACCAAGTATGATAGCTATGGGCCATCTGTCCACCTCAGTCAGTGCCTTTGGAAGGAATCAATGAGCCAGTCTTCAACCTTGCCCCTCCCTAACTTTCTCTTTCCTAAACGGATATCTGGGTCAATCAATTAATAGGGAGAAACGCATAAATCCCATTAGGATTATGGGGTTTAGACCAGGGGTTCTGATTGGATGTTAGCATTTGAGAAGGTGTATAAAAACCTCAGGCACCAGAGGAGAGATTCAGAGTCCTCCAGCTCTGCAGTCAGT